AATCATGCCCATAGTGGTGAGGGGAACATGATAGGCTGTTGAATGCCCATAATCCCACTCATTCATTTCCTCTTGCTTACTTCTGCAATTCCTGCTCCTCCATCTCCCTGGAACTTTCTTTCCCTTTGTTCCATGCACCATCTCCTACCGTGTATCCTTCAATATGCATCTTAATGTCTCCAATCCTCCCTACCTCCAGTTCTCTGGTAAACTGTTTCCTTCTTCTTCTGTGCTGCACAATACTTTATGTATACTGCTCTGTTTCTGTTTCCAACACTCTCACTGCCATATCTATCCAACCACTTAATACAGAACTTAGCAGATAAGCAGTATTAAATGTCCAGTGAATGAATGTCAATCTAGTTGAGTAAAACCCAATACCTAAATATTCAAAGGCAGCTGACTGACTAAATAGACTATGCTACAACCATACAATGGAATATCATGAAGCCGTTAAAAATGATGTAGGAAAGTATTTTTGGCATGGAAACATATCCATAAAACTAAGCGGAAATGTAGGTTATCAAGCATAGAGGTGATATGACCTCATTTTTATAACAAAGCATACACACAAATATTCACCTATGTTTTACGTAAGGAAAAAAAACTCTGGGAGGCTAGTGTTGGTGGTTATTTCCTAATGGTGGTCCTATGGAGATTTAATTTTCTTCTATAATATTTACTATATTTTATGCATTTTCAGTAGCATGTATTACTTTTCTACGTAGAAAAGTAGATATTTTCCAAAAGAAATCACAAAAGTCTAAAAAGAGGCAGAGGAAAAACACGGCATGAGGAATTCCGTGATGGAGACATGAGCTACGCACTAACCATAGTGGGGTAGAAGTGACTTACATGGCCTATTAGACTAAAAAGAGGAAAAAGTCATTTCTTATCAAAAAAAATAGAGAAAAGTAAAAGAACTTTATGTGTCAAGACATGCAGATAGAAAATGCTTGTCTTCTCTTAGGAGCAACAAGTATTTTAATGTGGCTGGATGGTACAGTTGGAGGGGTATAGATGTGGCAGGAAAGACTAAAAAGGTAGATTGAGGCCAATGTCATAATTAGAAGAGACAGCTACACTGGTGAGAAAGGCTTGTAAGGGAAGAAAAAAACCTTTTCTCTACCCTTTTAGGTTTTGTCTAGGGCCTGCAAATTAAATTGAGAAAAGACATACAAATTTTATTAATGTTTTTAATTTTACGTGCCCAGGGGCTTCACAGAAAAGACATAAAAACCCAAAGAAGCAGTTAGACTCGGGCCCTTATACACCATTTTAACAAAGAAAGAGCGATAAGTTATCGAGAAGTAAATTGACAAAAGAAAGAGGGTTCGGGGTTCTAGGGCTGATAAGTTGTGGGAAAGTGTTGCCAGTGAGGGTTCCGTGATGCCAGGGAGGCTGTATGTTGTTAGAGTTGTGGGTACCATGTGGTTTTCATTGCAGTGGTTCAGGTCCCACCCCTAATTATTTTGTGATGTTATCACCCATCCTTCCTAAACCTAGTGGCAATAATGTTAGGAACAAAAATGAAATGAAATTTCAAGTATCCCCATGTGGTAAATAAGAGAATCTGCAGAAAAGCACCAAAGGAAATTTTATGCAATCACAAGAGGAGGTTTCCAATGCATTTCATGGCTGTTGAGAAGAGAAAATATCTTTTCTTTTTTACGAGTGATTCACATGTATGCTTTGGGCCCTTTCATGTCTTCCTGTGTTAGATCCCAGTTCATTCCGGTCAATTGCTCCCTTCCTCTAGCATCAGCTGTTCCTAGTGCCTAGGATTCTTCTAAGTGATCACCAGTTAACTTCTTTCCTACCTAGTAACTAACTCTTGCCCCCTAAAAAGCAAAATTTTAAAAAATCGGAAAAGGATAGCCAGGCAATGAAGTAGTAGAGTTATTTCCAATCAGCCCCAAGCTGAATATACATGCTTGGGAATTTAATCATTTCCAAACTGAAGAGCCATCTGTAAGTTTGACAGGAAGAGTTTATTTAAAGAGCTCTGCTTCACGCTCCCTTGGACTTCAAGATTTTAAGGACCCTTCAGCTTGAAAGTGGATGTAGCATTGGGCATGACTTAATGGATGGTCAGTAAAGTATTAAGTGTTCTGAGAGCATGTGGAAACAGCTGAAATTGTTCAGTCCAACCATGTTAATAGAGTCCCCATTAACTTTCAGATTGCAGCATTATGAAATCAGAGAGTTTTTGCACAACTTAAAATCACCTTAAATTGCACTATGGAATATAGTGACATTTAGGGTTGCCAGACAACATAGAGAACACCTAGTTAAGTATGAATTTTAAATAAGCAATGAATCAGTTCTGAAATTCAAATTTAACTGATGTCTTGTATTTTTATTTACTAAATCTGACAACCATAGATTTCCTCCCATTTTTGAAACTTGTACACGAGAGCGACAGGAAGTTGAAAACATTCATGCAAAATACCATGGTTCACTTTTGAAAAAAATGCAAATTCCAGTTAAGTATAGGCACTTGATAAAAATATGTTGGCTAAATATTTATTTGTTAAATCAAAATTTAAAACATCTGTCATTATTATTCTAAAATATTAATTTCTATTAAAGTCTTGTTCCTTTTTCTCTTAAATCTGGTGAAAGCATACAGACCACAGAGTTTATGTCTTTAAAACCAGAGAAATGAAATAAAGATGATTTTGCATTGAATGGTACCCCCATCCTTTCCAGAAACTGCTATTGTTGAGTTGTATAACTTCAAGTTGGCTTCTATGTGCTGTTTTTCCTGGATAAAACTCTTGGTTCAGTTTTGAAATGAATCAGCAACATGTTGTTTTAACTACTCCAAGGGCCTTCAGGAAAAAAGCAATTTATGAAAGACAATATGCCTTCATGAGACAGGCTGCGCTTAAAATGGAACTTCTTTAAGTGGTCATAGCCTATAGGCACTGGAGGATTAAGTGAAATACTGTTTTCTGAAAATTGAGTTGTCACATAGCAACTGGAAAGCAGGATTCAGAATTTGGGGGAGGGGTTGGGGTTTTTTTGTTGGTTTTGTTTTACTTTTGCTTTCTTTTGCTTTTTTTTCGCTGTTTTCAGAGAAAATGGCATTCTACTGCCTCTTAACAATAAATGTACTGTTGCAATATCTTGTCAGTGGTAATCAGTTGTAATATGTAATTACTTTTTTTTATGTCCTTTAAAACATATCTACCATATATTTGGGTTTCATTTCTTGGACATTTCTGTATAATCCTGGTCGTACAATACATAGAGGGAAACAATTTTATAGGAATAATCAAATGTATTTATTAATAAAAGGAAAGTGAAAACATTTCTAATATATAGAAACTAGTAATGAGTTTTAAGATTATGCCTAGTTACTAGTGATGGTAATAAAGAAAGTTAAAGGAATAAAGGAAAAAAACAACTGGCCAAGTATGGTGGCTCACGCCTGTAATCCCAGCACTTTGGGAGGCCCAGCTGGGAAGATCGCTTGAAGCCAGGAGTTTGAGACCAGCCTAGGCAACATAGCAAGATCCCATCTCTATAAAAAAAATTTTTTGAAAAAATTAGCCAGGCATGGTGGCATGCACCTGTAGTCCCAGCTACTCCAGAGGCTGAGGCGGGAGGATCACTTGAGGCCCAGGAGTTTGAGGCTGCAGTGAGCTGACTGTGCCTCTGCACTCCAGCCTGGGTGACAGAGCAAGACTCTGTCTCTACAAAAGAAAAAAAAATTTAGTTTAATAAAAATTTTAAAAAATTATTTTCCTTTACTGGGAACATCTGTAAAGCATATGAAAGAAGAACATTATAGGAAGTCAGAGCTGAAAAGGGTCTTCCAAGTTATTAGTTCTGCTCCTTGATTTTATACATAAGGACCGGGAAGCCTAAAGATGGTGGCGAAGCCAGGACTAGAACGATGAGTGCCTGATGCTCAGGTCTGCTCCTTGTCACACACATCACAGGGCTCTGGGATGAAATCATGGACCTCTGAGGTTTGGGTCACCCTCTGGTCACCACTACTCTGATGCCCTCATATGCTCCACCTTCAGGAGTATGAGATAGACTGGTGAGAGAAGGCGAGGCGGTCGTGTTGAGGGGCTTCTCCACTGGAAACTTAACGGGGAAAGGTTTGCAAGCCCTAGCAATTGTTGCCCAAGGCATCAGTCCTTCCCAGACCATGCCTTGGCGTGCACCTGCCTCTCAAGCTGAGCTGTAAGGAGAAAGGCCGTGGGAAGATGTGGGGAAGGAGGAAATTTACAGATGCAACTGTACTCTTCCCCTCCACTCCATTCCAGATTGTAAATCTATGGCCCAGTCCCCAAACCTCAACACTCCCAGCGCTTTCAAGTCAATATTGTTTCATTGGCCCGGGGACTTATAATCCCAGCATTTTGGGAGGCTGAGGCGGGAAGATTGCAGAAGTTTAAGGCCAAGAGTTCCAGTCCAGCCTGGGCAACATAGTGAGATCCTGTGTCTCAAAAAAAGAAAAAAAAAGTATTGTTTCAGTCTGCAATTTATTTGGAAGGAGGTAGGATGCTGAAGAGTGATTGGAAAATAGGGTCATGTTAGATGTGAATTTAGTCCAGGCCTCTCCGATGTCCCATGTGTGAGTTTATCTTGTTTGTCCTAATTTTCTCTTTGTAAAATGACATATATTAATGTGCTGTTTGGACAGTATGTTTAATCTCTTAGAATATATAATGACATGATTTTGAACCCATTTGGTATTTGCACCCGGGCCCAAGCAATCTGGATTGCAACAATGAGCATGGTGTCTTCCCAGCCTTTGTCCTCACAATAGGAGCCAACCTAGGGCAATGCTGTCTTACCCTGGCTTGGCCTTTCTTTAGAAGGAATGGAATGGGGAGGGAGGGGCTGCTGACACCAGGTGGAATTAGGCCCTGTTGATCCCAGGTGGGTGAAAACCACAGCCTGGAGCCCACAGGAAAAGATGCTCCAGGTTACGGTGGTGCAGGGACGGCCGACTGACCACATTGGTGATTGTCTTGCAGGTGGACTTGGGCCTCCTGCGTTTTGTCACTGCCGTCGGGACACAGGGTGCCATTTCCAAGGAAACCAAGAAGAAATACTACGTCAAGACTTACAGAATAGAAATTAGCTCCAACGGGGAAGACTGGATCACCATAAAAGAAGGAAATAAACCTGTTGTAAGTTTGGCTGCCACCCCCTCCACCAATGCAGTCTTTTAAATGGATGTTCAGTTTCTACCTGTGTGTGCGGGAGCAGGAACTTTCTGTCCGGCCTGGTTTATTTTTGAATTGATTTAAAATGAAAAGTGCAATTAGAGGTTTAAATCTGACCAAGGGGTCTCAAGTTCCCCGACCCAGAAGCCAAGAGGAAATCATACGGATGTTTCCAAGAAAAGTCAATACCAGCCAAATTAAGTGTCACACTCAAGAATCACTTTGAGCTTCCCACGGGGACACGGATTATGCATAGGATAAACTCTGTCCTCTTAGAACCTTAGGAATTTGAGGTTTTGTTTTTGTTTTTTCCCGACATTTCTTCGTTCTCTGTCATAGATTCTTTCTCTTTGTACTGGGCTGATTTTAGAAAACATCTTTTCATCTACACTCTGTGGCTCACAAACTAATTTACAAGTGTACTTGGCCGCTTCTTGTAAGAACGGGATAGAACGAAAGGTATTTCACTGTGTTCCCTCAGATCACACAAATAACATGCTACCTCCTTTCTGCTTTCAACCAAGGAGGCGGCACAGACCACGCCGTGTCCCTGGGCGCTTGGCCCCGAATCATTTGGAACTGAGATGTTTTTCTCAGCCAGACTGTTTATTTGAAGTTATACTTGCTCTGATTTACTAATCAAAAGATTTCTGAGCATTCATACTCACTGTCTCCTAAAAATTGAAAGCTTGCCCTGGAGGCCGAGTAGCACACAGGAAATTGGCGAGGTTAGCAGCAAAGATCTAGGTAACTTGCAACGATGGGTTTGGGAAGAGGCCAATTAACATGTCCTTGTCTCTCTTAGGGGCATCCGTGTACTTGATTTTCTCCTTTTGGGTCTGGAACTGGGAAAAACCTCCTAGGTGTGGAGTGAGAGAAGAGCTATTAATTCCCTTTGATTAGCCGAAAACCCCCACTCTCGTTTAGGGCAGCCAAGGTGGAAGCAGATACAGGTAGACAGCTGCTCTGTGGGAGGAAAACTCTGGGAACACGCAAGTTCAAGGCCACTGTCTGGCCCTGGAGGACGTGAAACCAATTCTCCATCTGGGGAAGAAAAACCCTTGTAGTCAACGCTTATGAAGATGAAGCAAGTAAATTTTGACCCCGAGTTTCCTGATTTATCCTTGTTTGGGAGTAGATTTTTTAAGGCATGCTTTAGTTTCAAACAAACAAAGGACACACCTACAAACAAACGAACCCAGACGGAGTGGGGAAAACTGACCCTAGACCCAGTCGGCCGCTGTCTACTGGTTGCTGGCATGGCTCAGCGAGGCTGTCAGGGCACACTCGGGTTCCTGGGGGTGGCTGCCAATGCACACAGCCCGCCTGGGAACTGCCTGGCGCACAGAAGGGCTTGCAGGGCGGGAGGCAGAGAGAACAGGGGAGGCTTCAGTGGAGATAAAGACTTGGCCTCCGCGTGAGCCCTGTCATTGAATCTAAATGAAATCGAGACATCCCCCAGGAATCTAGCCATTGGTGCCCACCCTGCCTTTCTCTGTACTTTGGGGTTCGGCCACTTCCCTCTGCCCTATTTCTTTCTTTCTCCGGGAAGGGTCGGCCGTGCCTCAGCCAGAGCAGCTTTTGACTAGTAACTCCAGCACCCCTCTTTATGTTGCAGAGAACGCGTGCACGCACATGGCTCTCAGCAAACGTAAAACCCCCTCCCTGGGAGCCACACACACCCCGACCTGCGTCAGAGCACGCAGCACCCCTCACAGACCTCAGGTCCCCCTCGGACGTGGACTTGTGGACCCCGTAAGGAGAGCGCCATCGCTGGGGGCTCCACTCCTCTGGCAGCTCCCGTTACTCTTTGTCACACAGAAATGCTCCCACACAGATTGTTTCCCAGAGAGAGATGCTGAAGCAGGACAGAAATGGAAAGGCCATCACAGGCTAGGGTATATTAGGATATTAAACCGTCTCCAGAGAGGGATCCGGCTAACAACCGACTTCGTAAAGCATTTGACCACCTTCAGCTGTGCAGGCCCCTTAAACTAAATGAAGTAAAAACACCAGCCTGACTTTTTACAAGCTCTTTCTCCCAGGGGGAAGGGAAAGCCTTGGGAAACTGCGAGCCTCCCGTCATATACTTACCTGGAAAGGTGGGGAGGTATGCCCACTCTGGTGTGCCTAGGAATGCTCTAGTTATGTGACTTAAGAGGAGGAGGAGGACGGTGGCCTGGCTATGTAGAGAAGCAGAGTGCTAGATGCACAAGTCACAGAGATGAGAAATGTCTCTGCTACAAGGGCTGCTCCCAACCCAGGACTGAAGTGAAATCCAGGCATGGGGAGGCCAGAGTGTTCTGTGACAGCAAAACAGTCTCCATCCCTCCGAGATCTTACTAGAGCCCACTTCTGCAGCCCCTACCCAGGCAGCGGGTAATTGCGGGAAACTGATTCCTGCCTGGCCCTCGTTAACATTTGCAGTCACACCTTGTCTTTCTTGGAATAAAATGGCTCCTTTTAAAACCAGAAGCAGCAGCCCTGCTGTTCACTTAAACATCATTTATAACTCAGTTTTGACTTTGACCATTAAAACATAATTTTACCAATAACCAAAAAAGGAGTAAAGTCATGAATTAATGTCAGGGATAAGATCTTCCATCAAGGAACAGAGTCAAAGGGAGAAAGCTGTCTGACCTAGCACTATGGCTGGGAACGTAACCTAGAATTTAAAAAAGCCAGACCCTATCCTGAACTCAAAAAGCATTCCTTCTGAGGCTTCTTGGGAAAGTAAAATAGTGCGTGTTCCCATGACCTGTCTACAGTATTCTGTAGGTCTTCTGATAAAGTTAAGAATTTCCCACTTTTTTAGATAATGGCATGAATCCTTTAATAAATGTTATCCCTATAATAGTGCTTTTAGAGAATCTAGCCTCAGAAAATCGAATAGATGATTAGGACAACATTCTATATTAGATACGATTCGTTCTGATGGCCATGATTTGAAAAAATAATATGTCAAGTTATTCATGCTACCTCAACCTTGGTAGACAATGCTGAAATTGTAAATAATTTTTGCAAGCATTGGTGAAAACATCTGTTAGGATTTGTTTCATATCCAAAAAGTCTGCTAATAAAAGGCCTTTTCTTTTTCCATGTAGGTCTTCCAGGGAAACACCAACCCCACAGATGTTGTGTATGGAGTTTTCCCCAAACCACTGATAACTCGATTTGTTCGAATCAAACCTATGACTTGGGAAACTGGCATATCAATGAGATTTGAAGTATATGGTTGCAAGATAACAGGTGAGCTCCAGCTTGAAGAGCATCCTGTTTAGATTTGCATAAATGCAGGGAGAATAATTTTGTATAAATGTGGTCATTTTTATTCAATAATTAAGAGCATATGCTTTGGATTTAGCCAAATTGGAGTTCAGATTCTACCTTACTATTCACTGTTTTTTCGGACGATACACTTATCTTTCAAAGCCTTAGTTATCTCACCTGGAAAACAGTAAAACTGCACCCTGCACAGGCTAGTTGTATTTAATAGGAATGGATAGGATTAATGGACGTAAAGCATTTAGCACAGGCTGGCATGTGGCAGGGATGTGTTTAGTGGCACCTTTTCCTCTAGACTGTAAGCTCCTTGAAGTCAAGGACCATGCCTTTCATCTCTTCTCCCTGGGTGCAGGGCACGCTGATACTTAGTAGACTGAAAATAAATAACTGTTGTATGAAGTGTTCTCCACTGGCTTCATTCATCTCTTTGATTTTGAAGCATAGAGGCAGCCTCATCTGGTATAGTTAAGAGCAAGTTTAACTTACAAGACCTTCTCCTTTTACTCACTAACTACCCTGACAACTTCTCTTAGGTTTTGTCTCTAGCTATGTTTATTTTTCATTGAATGAAATGTACCAAAATTAGAAATCAACTCATAAATGTTTCTCATTTTTTATTTTGTTTCTTCAATCATCAACAGTACTTTAAAAGTCTCTGATAAATGCTGAATAAGTAAATGGATTATACCCATTTGAGAGATGAGGAAGGTTGAGATACTGAGGGATTAAGTGGCTAAAAACCTAGGCCAGGTCAGGAAAGAGCTGGAACTAAAAGAATGATCCTAACTGTTACTCTTACTGTGTTTCTATGGCGATCTGTTACTTGTGCATTGATTTTCTTGTATGACTATTTTTGAATTCTGCAGTACATAGCAGTCAAACTAGAATTCCTTTCCGTTTAAGTAACCGCATTACCAAGCTGTCATTACAAAAGCGACCACCAAAAATCTAGTGCAATGTAATCTTCATCGTAAGTGTAAAAGTTTAAAGACAGAATCCATAGACTGATTCACTAAAAAGTAATTAAAAGTGAACAACTTCTAAAAGTCAGTGAACTACCTTTGAATAGCATGTTAGTATATGTCTTTCAGGTATTTAATTTTTCATTCCATTTTTATGTTTATACTCTTTAGTATAATTATTTTTAGAGGAGAAAAATACTAATTGCAAACATCAACTGGACTTTAAAAGTCTCTAATAAATGGTGAAGGGAAAAAAAATCACCTCGGCAATTTTCCATGAAATTACAAGCAATTTGGAGAAGAGCTTAATGAAAAGGGGAAACTACACTTGTTTACACTAGAGTCCGTCTTAGAAAGTAAAAGCTGACATCTGATTTTTTTTTTACCAAAATTTTATTTATTTCCATCCCAGAGACAGACTTGTTTATTGTTTTGGGATCTAAGACTCAGAAAGTTCAAGGTCTTAGAGGCAGAAACTAGGTGGGGAGGGGTTTGGAGTAGAAAGAACAATGAAAGTTAGATATAACCTAACCTTGGCTTTATTTTCGATCAGCAGTTAAATTACAGAAAGTTCTAGGTCATTTTCAGAGCATTACAAAATTGAGAGGCTACCCATAAATTCATAGGACAAGGCCACTTGGGGTCTGGGTGGAAATTTCTGGCCTTATCTCATGCCACTGTATCAGAAAGAAATGAGGTAAACTTCACAAAGACTCCAAACATGTGAGTCTGAACTTTGAATTTCCAGGCTCTTGGGTATTTATGTCACATCATTTTAGCTGAATAAAATACTTATTGAAACCCAAACTGTCATTTTTCATTTTCACAAGGGTTTCCCTGAGAGAGAATTCTAGGAATGCGAGCAAAGAAGACAAATAATTTGTTGGATTTTTTTTTTAAAAATGGTTAAATGATCTAGTTATTTAAACACAGATGTCTAAAATAGCATATTCTAATGTTTTTATACACAGTCTATTTTATAATTATTTTAAGCAGCTAATTATTTTTCAAAGAAGTTATTGCTTTTAGGCTCAGAGTACTAATCTTTTAACTATGAAATCTACTATACTTCTAAATACTTTCTCTCTAGTAAGATGGCTCTAATCTCCAAATAATTGATCTAGGCAGGCTTTTGGAGAGGCCAACATGTTGCAATAACGGTCACATGCACAGAAGATATGCAGACTTATCCGGGCTTGGCTGTGGATTGACCACTTAGTGAATGTTCGACATGAGAAAGACATTTAATCTCTCTGATCTCCATTTCCTTGTCTGTAAGACTCACTTAATGCAGCTGTAATGAAAGAATATTCATAGCATACCTAGTTTAGAGTAAGTGCTCACTGAATGGTCCCCAGCAAATTAAAGCAGTGCATGCTACTCAATAAATTGCACCTGCAATACGCCCTGCAAACGGAGCCTCTAATAAGACAATGATATCAGTGTCTTCTTGTTGGTTACCAGGAGCAAATAATTTTCTTCTTTTTGAGGTCATGGTCCCATCAAATTGGAGGTGAATGAAAGAAGAAGAGGGTTGCAGCATTCCTGCAGGACCATGAGAGCAGGGGCCCTGTTGGACTTGTTTTCTGTTGTGTTTTGTATGCCTGGAGCTCAACCAGTGCTCCCTGGTTATTTTGGAATTCATCAATTGCAGTTCTGTCCATGCCTTCTGACAAACAAGTGGCTGGACCTCAAATAATTTTCACTCTCTCCTGTGAAGTAGCCAAGTTCTAACTCAATCTGGATTTCAGACAAACCCTACCAAACGCAAAGCTACCATGTGAACACATCACTTGACTTCCAAAGCCATGAGAGCCCCAAGTTTTTTAACCGGACTTTTGTCTTCAGAAGTTATTTTTTCCTGAATCAAGGACCAGAGACAAAGAAAAAAAGAAATTTTTTTTTTCAGAAATACAGTTATCCTGGAAAATTCAGAGTAGATGATGGTTGTTACCCTAATAGAGATATAAAGAAAACAAGATTGGAGCAGACCATTCTGCTTTATAGGTGATTGAGGAGCGAACATTTTCATAATTTTAGCAAAGATGGAAATTGGTGAAAATCATGTTGGAGGGTTACTGTTTAATGTATGAGCACATACTACACACTCTGCTATCTTGTGTTTGTTAACCAGAAGTCTATTACCTGGTGCCCAGGTTCATGTGCTACTAAGTCAATCAGAATATTCACAATTGTGATCTCAGGCACTGTAATACCCAGAGATACTTTCTGAGTCATCAAGGGAAGATTAAATTATTCTCATTCAGGGTCTCCCATCAAATGCACTTATTGCTTTCCATTCTTTGAAAATTGGTTAGCTGGATATTTGGTTTATCAGTGTATCTCAGTTTTTCCACTAAAGTTGAGTACAGAGATTTTACTACAGAATAATATCACTGAAAATAACCATCTCAATCCCCCATTACAGAACTCATTTCTCCCTCCCATCCAGGATTGGTTTTAAGCTTTCCAGACAGGGTTGCCTGGTAAATTACAGAATGTCCAGTTAAATTCGATGCAGATAAACAACAGATTTTTTTTTAGTATAAGTATGTCCCAACTGTTGCATGGGACATACTTATACTAAAAAAGTTATTCCTTGTTTCTCTGAAATTCTAATTTAGCTGAGCATCCTGTCCCTTGTTCTGTTGTTTGCTTGTTTGCTAAGTCTGGCAACACTATTTCCAGAGGGTTTGACATGTAGCCAGGCTAAACCTGAGGAAGCCTATTATATCATAGAAGAACGGAGTTGGAAATGAGTATCTTGTTCAAACCTTGAATTAATTGTTAGTATAATTTTTCTTCTCATCGTTCTTAAAAATTGGTGACAGGTTTTCAATAAAAGGCCAAGCAAGGGGCCTCTTTATTGGTTTCTTTTTCACATCAGGCAGATGGACGGAAGGGATGTAGTCTCCCTGCACCATGGGTCTGTTGGCTGCAGGGGAGGTGGCACCACTGGGTTTGTGGATCTGTAAACTGTGACCCGGCCAGCTCCGCACTAGGGAAAGGGCATTAATCCGGTGACGGTTCTGCTCTCCTTAAAATATTCAAGTTAATGATATTTTCTCCCACATGGTGACATCTGGTCCCCATTACCAGCTACACATTGCCTTTATGAAAGCTGGTTTTGAATCAGGCAGGTATGACCACAGTGGCCAAAACATGGGACTTCTATTTTTAACATTACGGTTTCCTGGTCCCTTGGTAAAATCGTTTTTGTAAATCTTTTCTTAATTCCCATTGAGTTTATTCTTGGTTTCCAGATCCCAGCCCGAAGCAAATGCTGTGGCTGAATTACAGGAAAGAGTACTCGAGAAAACGACAGCTGCCTTTTATTGTATTAATAAGTTGATTCATTCAGCAAATATTTGTTGAGCAAATACTGTGTATAAAATAGGGCATAATGCATCATAGAAAAGAGAAAAATATGACTTGGTTCATGTCCTCAAAGAAGTGAAAATCTTGGGAGGCAAAGAGCAGCAATTCGCAGAACTACATATATGCAGCGTGTGAGAAATGCAGGTAAAGCGCTGGGAAGAGTCCCCGAAAAGGGAAACTGTGTCCAGCTGCAGAGATTGGAAAAACCGAATAGATGACGTGGCATCTGAGCATAGGTCACTATTTTAAACAATTCAGAGACAGGAAAGGGCAGACGATGAGGAGTACCCTGTGAGAGGAGTAGAAGGAAAGCCTCCACATCCCCAGAGGTGAGGAAGTGTTTCGTCTTAGTTGGCTCTAGCAAAAGGGGTGGATGAGGAGAGACATCGTAAGGCCATGGCGTGAAAGGCCTTTGCAGGCCTGGTTGAAAAATACACACACAATTCCTAGGCAAGCAGGCAGTGAAAGTTTGAGTCAAGTAATGACATGAGGCCGGGCGCGGTGGCTCATACCTGTAACCCTAGCACTCTGGGAGGCTGAGGCAGGAGGACTGCTTGAGGTCAGGAGTTGGAGACCAGCCTGAGCAAGAGCAAGACCCCATCTCTACTAAAAATAGAAAAAATTAGCCAGGTGTGGCGGCTCTCACCTGTGGTCCCAGCTACTCGGGAGGCTGAGGCAGGAGGATCATTTGAGCCCAGGAGTTTGAGGTTGCCGTGAGCTATCATTGTACGGCTGCACTCCAGCCTGGGTGACAGAGGGAGACTCAGTCTGAAAACAAAAAAATAAATAAATAAGTAAATACAGGGTTCAGTAAAGGGATTCAGTGTTGAGGGGAAAGGACTGTCTTAGTCTGGATCTGGTATATTTGCAATGACAACGGGACATTCATGTGGAAAGTCCCTCATGCAACTAGAAGTCAGGGTGGGAGGGAGGACAGCTGGGGAGAAGACAGGCACTGTCCTTCCACACCCATCCAGACGCCACCTCCCCTGGGGGTTCCCCTCTTGCCTTTCCAGGCTGAGTCACACACTTTCTTTCCTTTTACCTCCGTATCCCCATCTTTTTACCTTTGTTTCAGCAACTTTCTTGCTGTTGGATTTATTTTTTTTACATATTTCCAGCCCATCATAAACTGGGGTTTGGGGCGGGTCCTATACTTGAGCTGGGGATAACTTCCGGTTACCAGAGAGACTGGAACATCCATAGTTTGACATTAAACTTGGAAGACCTCAAAAGAGGGGAAGTTTATGCTCTTATTGACAATATTATCTACTGGGATGGAAGTGTAGGGAGGGGAGTTCTGAAAGAGCAGGAGGAAGGCTTGGGGAAGGGGAGGCTGCAGTTTGCCGTAAAAGAATCCAGAAATTGAAAATGTTATATGAATGGGTATAAAACCCTGTCTTCACCCAATACGTTGTATTTTCTTTCTAAGCACGGAGTCTCCCAGAAAATCATTTTACATTATCCATTTCATTCCACCTCCTAGATTACCCTTGCTCTGGAATGCTGGGCATGGTGTCTGGACTTATTTCTGACTCCCAGATTACAGCATCGAACCAAGCGGACAGAAACTGGATGCCCGAAAACATCCGCCTGGTGACCAGTCGCTCGGGCTGGGCCCTGCCACCCACGCCTCATCCCTACGTAAACGAGTGGCTCCAGGTGGACCTGGGAGAGGAGAGGATCGTGCGTGGCGTCATCATTCAGGGCGGGAAGCACCGAGAGAACAAGGTGTTCATGAGGAAGTTCAAGGTCGGGTACAGCAACAATGGCTCGGACTGGAAGATGATCATGGACGACAGCAAGCGCAAGGCGAAGGTAAGGGCTCCAGGCCGCGAGGAAGTCGGTCCTGACATCCTTGACTTCAGTCAAGGCATTTTCCTGAGCAAGTGCGACTTCCTATTTCCTTCCAGCCATGAGATCAGAGGAGGTGTGTGACAGTGTCAGTAAGACCCCCGATTCCAGGGAAGACAGGAACATGGTGCGGAAAATGATGTCCCAGATAATGTGCAAAAAAATCGCGTTGCTGGTCCCCTTTCCCTCCGTGTGGGGAAGGACAGACAGCTCCACACGCAGACAGGGGACAGGGCAGCCCTGGACTGAGGGTACAGCCCAGCAAGGCCTCAGATCCTCTCTGAAGATGTCACTCTTGTCACTTGGGTCTCCCTTTCCTCTTCTCTCCCCCGCCCCTAGTTTAATTGTTTTTTTGGGTTTTTTTTTTGGAGACAGGGCCCAGGCTGGAGTGCAGTGGCGCAGTCATAGCTCACTGCAACCTTGAACTCCTGAGCTCAAGCAATCCTCCTGCCTCAGCCTCCCGAGTAGCTAGTACTGTAAGTGCATGCCACCACACCTAGCTAATTTTTTTTAATTTTTTGTAGAGACGGGGGTCTCATGTTGCCCAGGCTGGTCTCGAACTCCCGACCTCAAGCTATCCTCCCACCTCTCGGCCTCCCAAAGTGCTGGGATTACGAGTGTGAGCCACTGTGCCCAGCATGTTTTAAAATTCTTAATTGTGATAAAATACACATAATATAAAATTTACCATCTTAACCTTTCAACTGTACACTTCAGTTCTGTTAAGTATGTTCATATTGCTGTGCAACTAATCTCCTAAACTTTCTCCTCTTGCAAAACTACAACTTCATACCCAGTAAGCAACAACTCTCATCCACCCCCACCCAGCCTCTGGTGACTACCCTCTACTTTCTGTTTCTATGAATTCAACTACTCTAGGAGCCTTGAAAGGTATTTGTCCTTTTGTGAATGGCTTATGTTTCTTTGCATAATGTCTTCAAGGACCATCCATGTTGTAGCATGTGTCAGAATGTCCATGCTTTTTAAGGCCATATAATATTCCATTGTTCACATAGACCACATTTTGTTTATTCCCTCCTCCATTGACAGACAGTTGGGTTGCTTCCACCTTTTAGCTATTGTGAATATTGCTTAAGTATATTTTATATGCATCGAAGCCTTTTGAAATGCAGTTGATCTCTTGATAATCCAGTGAAATGAAAGAGAAGGGAATCTTAATATAAAAATATTCCAACATTCACCAAAATATATGGTATAATTTTTTAACCAATCAAATCCACTTTAGTAATTATGTTTTACTTAGGCTGGTGGTGAAATTCATTTGCATTTCCTGAGCACACAACACCAACTTGGAAAGGATGCCCAGGAGTATACTGGGTGGCCTGGAAACTCGTTTAGGATTCCAATAACGAACAACCCACCCGCAATCAGCAGTCTAGGTTCTGTCAGCAGTGTGGGAATTGTATTGGGCTGAGGATACTTCTCACACCAACACAGTTGGCCTTTTGGTCTTAGCCTTTCCATCGCTGCTTTGCCCTGGACCTACTCCTCTCGTGAAGAAAGAAGATGTTTAGCTCGTTGGAGGGAATATTAATTATCCTCAGTCCCACTCTAAGCAAGTGTGGGAATATGGCTTAATATAGTGACTCAGGCCAGCCAGAGGCGTTGCAGGCAGGAAACAAGCTGTGCTGCCGCCAGCTCCCACTCCCTCCAGATGTGGGGCTCTGAGGGGATCACCCTGTCCCCCGTGGGCTGTGGGTCAGGCCCAGAGCAGCCCACCACTGACAGGGCAACAGGGCCAGTGCTGTCGGAAACGTACAGATCTCTCTCCACCTCTCCCCTCCTTCACTTGTGGTTTTTAAAACATTTTCCATGTCGTATTTATATGTGCAGCTACCTTCTTTCTCGTGTCCATTTCGTTGTCCCCTTCTACATCTGTCTCTCCTGTTTGGGGGAAAGAGAAAGTAAAATAAACACCAGAAACAGGAGTTCCCTTATGAGCTGAACCTTTCTAAGACGCGGTGAGCGGCACAGTGACTCCGTCAGAAAGTGTGAACATGCCGCAGATCAACAACTTCCTGCTGCCGCCCGTGGCAGCGTGCGCTGGTGTGACATGTTCTGCAACACCAGGGTTCCGAGAGAGAAAGAAAACAAATCACCATATGTTTTTGACAGGGCGCGTCATACGTTTCCCCGTCTCTTGTCTGAGCCACGCGTCTGCGATCCAGTCTAAAGCCGTTGCTCTATTGTAGCAGACTGAGTATGGAATTCCACGGGAAGCCTACACACCTTTTTCAGCTTTAACAGAATACTCAATTCAAGATTGGATGGATGCTTTAGGGTTTATGCCTAAAACAGGATCTTATCCATCATTATCATCCTCCTGTGATGTTGAAAACCATAAAAGCTTCTAAATTGTTTATATAGAGCCTCATCTGTGGTTCCCAGCACACCCTTCCACTGAAATAAAATCTCTAAGATGAAAAAGGAAACCGGTAAAACCTTTCATTTTAGAGCAGCATATATTATTTAATTATATAAAGACATTTAAAACATGCTATGTTTAATTTTACAGATGAAGGTCACCTGCTTAGGATGCCAAGTACTTTTTAATGTAAAAATAAAACAAATATTCGGTTTCCCCTATACTTACTCCCTGCCCCTAAATAATGGGTGGTGGACAAGCTATATCCAAGTCTTTTAACTAGACTTTTCAGGAACAGATAGAAAATCCAAACACTCTAAAGCTCTCATCGTCTAAAACATAATTAGCGACAGAACACAAAGAGAATCAAAAGCAAGTTTACGCTATCAAAGTTAGCTTAGTTCCATATGGGTTTTCATTGCTAATATTCTTCCTAGCTACCACTGACAGCTTTTATAATGTATTTACATTGCATTAATTCTTTGATCAAGTTAAAATTAAGAGATGAGCCTGGGATGCCATAGATAGAAATGCTTTTTTGCTACGATCTTTGGAGCTATATTAAATAGACAGAACTTGCATGTGTAGTAATGGTATTTTCATTATAATTAGTATCTTACTGACAACAACTTAATTGGGCCTAACAATAATATATGTCAAATTCTCAATTACTGGCAGCAATCGCAGTTCTATCAAGGTTGCAGAACCCCAATAGTGAATTTACTCTTGATAAAAAAAAAAAATGGAAGGGAACTTTGATTGGAAGAGGCAGGTCTATGTTAGCAATGCAGTTTTAAATTCCTAGAGGCTTTTCTGAGTTGGAAAAAGCCAATTAATTTCCTTCTAGAACTCAGAACCCCCCCCCCCATTCTGTTACAGCCTAACCCAATCTGTCTGTCTTCACTCACATGCTTCCATTATCTTGTCATGACATTTCCACCACTGAATGAGCCCATTTTCGACTGGTTTATGATGTCTCAACCCAGACACTGGGCACAGTTCTCACTCCTGACTGGCACGCCCTAGGGAGGGCCAGCCACCCTATCTGATCTACCAGGTCTCGTAGCCCAATTTGCATCAAATTGAAGACAAATTAATGAAACTAAATGTGTAGCTTTAGGCATAGATGTTTCTTGGATCGTGGTGTTTTCACCTGAAAAAAAGAGGAGACTCAACTAGATGATTTCTAAGGGCAGAGGCATCAGTGTGGTGTGGTTATGGGCACCAGTTAAAACCGCCTAGGTGTGCCAGGGGCAGTGACTCAAGCCTGTAATCCCAGTACTTTGGGAGGCCAAGGCAGGAGTTCGAGACCAGCCTGGGCAACATAATGAGACCCACCGTCTCTACAAAAAAATTTAAAAATTTAAAAAGGCTGGGTTCAGTGGCTCACTCCTGTAATCCTAGCATTCTGGGAGGCCAAGGCAGGAGGATCACTTGAGCTCAGGAGTTCGAGACCAGCCTGAGCAAGATCGAGGCCCCCGTCTCTACCAAAAACTTAGAAAAAATTAGCTGGGCATCATGGTGCACACCTGTAGTCCCAGCTATTCAGGAGGCTGAGACAGGAGGATTTCTTGAGCCCAGGAGTTGGAGGTTGCCATGAGCTTGATGATGCCACTGCACTCTCGCTGGGGTGACAGAGTGAGACTCTGTCATAAAAAAAAAAAAAAAAAAAAAAACCTGCCTAGATTTGAATCCTGGCTCTACCACTTACTAGTTGTATGGCCATGGCAAATTGCTTGTCTGCTTTGTGCCTCAGTTTCCTCATCTGTAAAAGGAAGGTAATACTAGAATTTATCTAGTATTGTTTTGAGGACTAAATGAGTTAATATATTTTAAGCACTTAGAACAATGCCTTACACCAGTAAACATCATACAGTATTTGATATATACAAAAAAAGGACATTCCCAATGATAAAACTATTTTATTTTTCTAATCCCCCTCTCCTTCTCACCTTCTGCATGGGATAAAGAATGGTGTTGGGAGAAGAGGATATAGTGAGACTTATCCATTTCTTGGAAAAGAAAACCCACCTAGTCATTGCTCCATTTTCTTATGATTCCACTCAAGGTGGTTGACTTTCCTGTCAATGAAAAAAGGGAAATACTATTATCCAACAGCAGACTGGCCGTGGGTGGCCTGGGCTCCTGAAAAGCGTCACAGTGACTTCAAGCTGGACGTGCTTCAAAAGAGGTGCCAACTCATCTCACAATTCAACCAGGAATCAGAACGTTGCTGTCAGGGCCCTTGGTACTTTCCTGACACGAGACGGTCTTTTATCTACAAATGACTCCAACTGGTGATACGTCTTAAGTAAACAGAAATTTCAGTGGTTTGGAACAACCCAAGTTCTTGAATAAACAGCCTTTGCGCTGCATTAAATTTACTATCTCCTACTTCAGATATTTCTTAATAATTCTTCCCTCTTCTAGAGGGCCAAGTTGTAGCACAACTAGGACCCTCTCATTTAAGAGAATGTCACAGGAATATGTATGGAAAATGGGGTGTCTATTAGAAGCTCCGAAAAAATGGCAAATTCTCTTGCCGAGTTCTCTTCCTCCACCTCAAGGAAGTGATGAAAGTGTCACTTCTCCAAGGGGTATGAGCCTATCATTTAAAAACATGTCTCATTAAATCCTTGGCTCCTGGTAGAGCCTCCATGTATCCTCGGACCTTTCTTAGAAATGACATCTGTCACTTCGTAGAGAAGGTTTAATTGTTTTTTCTTTCTCATTGATGAAAACGATGTCAGCCATTCTTTCTCTGCTGCACTCAGAGTCCTAAAGGAGGGAAGAAACAACTGCCGAACGGGAGGTCTTATCTTTTTTTTTTTTTCTGTCTTAATGACCTGTGTTTTTCATGCTTCACAGTCTTTCGAGGGTAACAACAACTATGACACACCTGAGCTGCGGACTTTTCCAGCTCTTTCCACACGATTCATCAGAATCTACCCCGAGAGAGCCACTCATGGCGGGTTAGGGCTGAGAATGGAGCTGCTCGGCTGTGAAGTGGAAGGTAATTACAATTTCCAGAGTCCCTTCTCATTCCCTATTTGTTTTTTATTTCCTTTTTCATGCATCTATGCCCCTGATGGTGCTGTCCCAAATTGCCACCCTTTTCCCCCCTGGGTGACCCTGCATCTCTCAGCCTGCCGGGCAGGGCGACTCAACACTCTGACACGTACTACTTTTGTCTTGGTTGCTTGTATGACTGTCCTCAGATTCTATGCGGTTGTCTCTCTCAACTTTTTTTTTTAAATAATTTACTAAGGTAAAATTCACATAACATAAAATTCACCATTTTAACTTAATAGCATTTAGTGAATTCACAATTTAGCTGTACAACCACCACCTATATCTAGTTCCAAAACATTTCCATCGCTCCAAAGTCAAACCCCACACCCACTAAGCAGGTAACCCACTTGCTCCTCCCCCTGACTCCTGGCAACCACTCATTCCTTTGCCTTTTTAAATATTGTGTAGAGGTGTGTGTCTGATCCAGTTTCTGTCTGCAGTGTTGACTAGCATCACATAGTGGCAGGAAGCAGCATTTGACAGACTAAGATATCAAGACACATTATCTTGGATGAATTTCTTAGGCTGCTGCAGAGAAACAGAACTTTACAGGAGATATTGTATATGAAAATACAGTGACACCTTTTTGGGGATGTTACTGCATACTGAGATGCACTCAGATTGTTCTATGAAGGTCATATCAAGTACAAATTCAGTTCACACATTGACCTCAGGACTGCACTCTCTTTTAACATATAATGAATGAGATAAATGTTTTGAGCTGGTTATTGTACCGTTTAATATCTTTGTGCTCTAGAATTCCCATCTGCCTTAGATTTGGGCATATGTGACTTACCTACACCAGCTCTCTATCTCCATACAGGTCCTTCTCCAGGCCAGCCCAAAGGATGACTATTGTGGGCATCTAGATGTTAATCCATTGAGCATCGATGCTAACAGTAGTTTTGAAGAATGCTTTTTAATATTTCCTTCTTGTGGTTTTAAAATTACTTGTGTTTTGGGCTGCCCAAATGTAATTACATTTCTGAACACATTAAATACCATAAAACTTTTCTTATTATGCACTACAAACTCTTCAGCTATCAATCACCGTACTACTGAATAATTCATAGCTACTTTTCAATGTGTTTATTTAAAAGCAGGCCATTATCTCCCATTCTTTACTGCATGGTTGTTTTCATATCTGTAGTCACGTCCTGGACTTCTAAATCATCCGATCTCTATCAACACACACCAGGAATGACCATGTGCCAGGGCTTTGACAAAGATGCCAAGAAAATGAGGGACGGGCAGACCGCACTAAGTGCAGATTCCTTCATTCAGTTTCCCGGGAAGTGTGGTCATCTGGAAAAGGGAGTGTGCTGCTCCAATGCAGGTCTTTGCCTGGGTTCTGGAAAGCAACACTGATTTAGGAGGTGGAGTGAATGGATGGTTGAAAAGACTGAGCCTGGTGGCAGTTTGCCAGTGTCAACTCTGTAGTGAGGTAGAAACTGTTGGTGAAGGGGATTTGCCTGCAGATGTTCCCAAGCACTCACAGAAGTGAGGAAGTTGCCCTGAGCTGTATGAGAAACCAACATCTGGGGAAAGTAACGTACCGTTAAAGCTTTTTAACACAGTTGGTGAAAGGGAGTGCATTTCTTCTACCTTATATTGATTAACAGGCCCTTATTAAGTATGTACTCTGGGCCTTGTTCTACAGGAGAGACCTAAAAAAGACAGGGGATAAAGTCCAGTCCAGCCCCATGCATGCCTGTCCTATTTTGAGCTAGCACTTATATTTAAGAAACAATTAGAGAACCACAGAAGATAATATCTTTTCAAATAGTAAAATTGGAGCAAACAAATCATTCACCTTCTACTTTTTTCAACCTAATGTAGGCAGTGCTCTGGGCCACTTCCAACGTAGAACTCCACCTTTAGAAACACCATAAGGATTGCAGAAAAATCAGCAAAATGAATAGAGAGTTTAAGATATTTAAAAGTAGCACATTATCAAGAGCAAGGAGAGCTTAGGGAAGACAACTACCTGGATTGCCAGAGAGGAAGGCGTCTACTGATACAGTAACAGCAGTCAATAGAGCCCAGAAGACATGCGTATGCGTTTTACAAAGTCTGGATTGCACGCCTAAATGGTGTGTACGTTATCTGTACACGGTGATTTCCCAGTTATTATTGGTGTGTGTACTTGGGCAGTTGAACAAGTTGAAACTTAGCTATGTTTCCACATTTGTCGTAACTCTGCTCAGCACTTAAGCACCATAACAAACAGTGTCACGTTTTTATTGAGAAAGCAACAGTTTCTGGCACATTCCTACTGGCCAGAAGCTATCAGAGAACAGTCCTTTCCCCCCCGCACCCCAGCATCTTGTCTGGTTCTCAAACATCAAGAGAACTGTACATTATCTTGAATCTTGTAAAGTGAAATGCAATGCCGAAAACTGTAAAATATTAAACAGATTGCAAAAATGAGTAACAGACTGAAAAAAAAATAGACTGAACTAAATTGAAGGGACTTCAAAAGCAGTCTTTGATTAATGTTGGCTACTTTTCAACGACAAATTCAAAGATATGGGAATACCGACCAGCAGTGGAATGCAATCCTACCAGGGTTCAGGTAAAATGACCCTCAGGATATCTGAGACAACTTCTCTCACACACCTGCTTTGGAGACAGGGCTCACAGGTTGAGAAGCTACTTAAAGAGAAATGGAATGACCCTTTAAAAAAAGAACAATATTGTACTAAATGTGAATGTTGAAACTCCCTTTGGGGGGAAAAATATAATATAAACTTAGCAAACTTAGTAAATACTACAAATATAAAAGAATTCATGACAAGTGAGTTCTCCAGCACCTTGAATATGAAAAGAAAAACAGTTCAGGCAAAATCTCTATCGTCAAAGCTCTCGACTCCAGGGTCATGAATAAATAGTCAGTGAGAATTCAAGAGCTTTTCAGAAAAAAAGGATGTTTACATAGATAACTACATATAAAATGCTAAGGCAGCCAACTCAGCAGATATGGATCAAATACCAAAAAAAAAAAAAAAAAAGCAATCTCTGATGCATTCTGCAGAATCCAACTACATTTAGCTCCTGAAAGAGAAGCAAACCATGTGCCTGGCCTTCTTACTGCAGATTAGAGTTTTCTGCAAAAGCCTTAGCAGATCCAACAGCCGAAGGCTTGAGAATACATTTCGAAGGTGTGAGATAATAATCCTTGGATCTCGTTTCAGCACCTACAGCTGGACCAACCACTCCCAATGGGAACCCGGTGGACGAGTGTGATGACGACCAGGCCAACTGCCACAGTGGAACAGGTGATGACTTCCAGCTCACAGGTGCAGAAACCATCTTCATCCCATTGCTGTGCCATTTCAGTTCATGTCGTAGTGGAGACCAGCTAATGCCTGTGTGTGTGCTCGTAACTCTGCATGGCGTCGGGTGGTGCCCCAGGAGGGAAGGCCTCCTTGCCAGAACACATGCATGTTCATTGCCTCATGCCATCCATGTTAAACGAGTTGTTCTTAATAGCCACAGCCATTTGAAACAATAATTGGAGCCATTTTCAGAGCTAAAGGCTAGGGTTGTCTTAACTGAGTAAGAATTTCTCCATGGCTAAATGTGCTAAACTGATTCCTCATCTTTAAGCCTCTCCTCCTCCCATAACACTTGCGCCATCACTACGTAACCGCACACGTTAGAATGTTTATTTTCATTTTTTCATGAGGTCAAGTTTTTTTTGAGTGAATTCTTTATCCAATTAACTGATGAAATTACGCTTATATTTGAAATGCAGCTTTTAAGTTGGGATTTTGTAAATCGATCTACATTAAAATTTACAAAGGCAGAATTAGTTGTTTTCGCATCACCACCGACTAGCAAATATATCAGAGGTGGTGTGTGCCAAACGCCTGACTAATGAATCTATAGAATTACTCCCTAATCTCCTAAAACCCTAAAAGCTAGAAAGTGACTTTCTCCTCCACTTTGGAATAGCAGAGGAAATGTTAAGCAGGTGGGGAAATGGGATTGCACCATTTGGAAATTGGCCAAGGCACTAGGATTTTCACCCGATTGTTGCAAAAGGTATCAAGGGACCTTGACTGCCACCCGGGTCAAATGCGGTTTCATATAGCGTCTGACTCTCATTTTAGAGTAAACACGAGCCCTTGAATGCAGGTCTGTATTTTTACCCAGAAGGGACTCAGCCCACATAATTAATTTCCATGGGCAAAACTGAAGGCGTTACCATGTAACTTCATAATAAGGCCATGTTATTGGCTAACACATTAGTGCAAAATCCTGCAGGATTTTTGAAGGAAATGTCCTGCAGTATATTTCCAGCTATTTCAAAAGCTTATCTCAGAAAGAGCCAGAGAGCTCTGCACTCTGAAATTGAAAGGGTAAAAAAAAAAAATCTAGCCCAGAAATTTAGTACTATGAACTGGGTTTATATATAAATCCCACCTCCTAAAGCTGTCTCTTTCCAAATTTCTAGAATAATCACTTAACATTCGTGTGGCCAATAAATGTCACATTGCTATGGGCTTTTGAATGCAAATCTTGTATATCAGTAGCCAGAAGCCACAAAAATTACTTTAATTAATGCAGAGGCATTTTCTGTGTAAGATGTTAAGATGCCAAGTTCAAGTTGAAAACCCTATAGCTGATGGAAAAAACAGAGTACCGTTCGGTGACCCAGGTCCTCTGGAACCTTCTGGGGGTTGCCTGTAAACACCCTGCCACAAACCTCAGGCTATTTTGTGGACGCCATCACACAGCTTTGGTGAAATTTGTCATAAAAAAGAATGACTAAAGTGTCACAGTAGACACTTTTCAATTGCCCTCTTGTGGAGGGGGTTCTTTTTTCTTTATAAACTCTAAAGTGGTCAGTTAATATTGATTAGAAACAAAGCCACAGATTTACTCCTCATATCAGAACAACCAGCCTTCTCATTTTTGCATTAGTTCATGACTGAATCAATTGAAACTGAAGCCTTTGAATGAAATGGGACGAGTATGTTAGCCTGGAGCAAATTGTGTATGGCAGCGAGTTACAAACCACAGAAAATGGGTCATTTATCGTGGAAACACTGACAACCCTTTAAAAGTACAAAGTGTTTTGCTTTTACCTACAGTGTTTAAATTATTTCTTGGGTAGGTAGGAGAAAGTTCATTCCAATTTTTTCTAACAGATTAGCATGGCAAAAAAAAAAAGTTATTTTCTCAGATCAGCACGTTTCTCTCAATAATTCTATAAATTCCTGCATATATTAAGAACCTCTGAGAGTGCTAATGCTCACCCCCCAGCCCCCAGTCAAGAAGAGGTGATTTTTAAGAAGACATTCTCATGTTTCATATTTATTGCATGACAGCCAATTTTTCCTTTTTAAAAAATTCATTTTACTTTGCAAAGCCATTTGTTATTCTTTTCTGAAAGTGGATGTGCTCACATATAATTGTTTGCAAGGAGCAAAGAGCTCACCTAACCCAGGTACCTGTTTACATCTAAACAACACACCCCCTGTACTCACATGCCACATTGTATCCTTTTTGCTAATTCTGGCACAACTACAGAATTTATTGTGAGAACTACAAGTTTTGTGTGTTCAATGTGATGAAACCAAGCCGTGAGCATTCTCACTTTCACCCGGGTAGGCGGGAACATGGAAATTGGGATCAGCACCATCTTTGGTGGTATTTAGTTTCTTAGGACAGGGGGTGTTGATTTAATTTCTTCTCCTGGGTTGACTTATCTGTATACAGAGGGGGAGAAATATGGTAGGAAAATGCTCATTATTTACAAACAGCTCTGAATTCCAGGTGAACGGTAGCAAATGCATGGAAATAAGCAGAGAGTTTGCTCACCCACACTTGCTTGCCAAGGTCAAAATTCTCCCTTGAAGTGTTACTCATTTGCAAATGCCTTTGAAGTCATTAGATAATACAATTGGCTTCAAAGGCACGAGGAGGCCAGATTTCACATTGGAGCTGTGTGTGTGTCTACCCAACAGCGGAATTTGGCCCCCAACCTATAACAAAACTGATAATGCATATCGGTTTTAAAAAGTGAATTTTCACCTTGAATCTTTCTCCTCTAAGCCCACTGGGAACAGAATGTTAATGTATTCTGGCCTCCCTCCAATTCTGCCATTACAGATTCACCTTCCTAACCCGTAATATATGTAATTCTCTTCCCACCGCCTGCCTTATTGAGGCCATGCACACGTGTGACCACTCATCCAGCATATTTGCTGGGAGATCAGGGGTAGCTGCTGTAGTCGATTAGCTCAGAAATCCAAAGACCATTCCAAGAGCACGATTTTACGGCTGATTCATGCTATGGATGTGACATGATTTCCGATCCATGGATGCTGTAGCATAGGCCTGGCCCTGATACAGATCGCCACAAGTCTTTATTGATTGATGCTATTGGAAAGTGCTCATGACCTCTTCCAGAACTTTCCATGATAGTCTTGGGCCTGCCTCACTCCTTCACCCTGAATTAGTCCTGTATTTTCTCAAGGTAACAGGCTCCCTCCGACCACCTCCAACCATAATCTGCATCGCAAATACACAGGAGAAAAAGTTTTCTCAAGCACAGTCATAAACAGCAAACTGCTGTTTTCCAAATGTGGTAGATTATAAGTCTCACCTGAGAAGCTTTCAAAAAAAAACAGATTTTCAAGGCCTTACCCACAGAGATTCTAGCTCTCAGGTCTAGAGAGGATAGGTCGATAGGAAACTGCAATTTCAGTGAGCATCAGGTGATACCTATGATTGGGCAAGTTTAAGAACACTGCTTGGAAACAGAAGTATAATGATGAAGAATGGAAAATGGGTGAGTTAAGACACGGAATAAGAGAAGGTGAAGCTAAATCTCAGTAATTCCCCGACCAGGAATGCCAAAGTAGACCCAACCGATTGAAAGCACACAGTGTTCAGGGTATTATTTTCTCAATCTCCCAGTTCCCTAGGACTGCAAAGGAAATGTTTCTCCCCTTCCCCTTCTCCTGCTGCCTCCCACAGCTTCTCCAAACCACATACTGGGCAGAGTGTTTGTCCCTGGGAAAAATAAACAGCCACAACAGCCAATGAAAGGAGGAACACTACCGTCCACACTAAACCTTCAGTTTTCCAGTTTTTTAAATAGATTGTGGGGACTGGCCTTGCAACTTGCCTGAAGGCACACATCTGAAACCGAGGAATACAGTCTGAAGCTCAGAGGTCTGGGTCAAGTTTAATACCCAAGTCACCGAGGACATTCAGAGGCCTTTGCCTTTCACTGCGGCAATTGTATGCCACGCTCAGTCTGGGAATCAGAGAATGCCCTTGGAACAAAGTCTCCAACTCTCCATGCCTTCTGCATGCTTTACAAAGAAATGTGTTAGAATATATTGTGCACTTGGAACTTGCTAGGAGAGTAGATTTTAAGTGTTCTCACCACAAAAAATGTATGTGAAATAGTGCATACAGTAATTAGCTTGATTCAGCCATTCCACAAGGTATATGTATATCAAAACATCATGTTGTACACTGTAAATACATACAGTTAAAAATTTTTAAAAAGAAAGTGTGTTAGGTACAAAAAATAACGGTTTGTTTGTACTTAATATTGTGGTAAGCAAAATATAAGTGAAACAATGACTATTGTTGGAATTAAGGGATTTTCTTTGGAAAATGTTTGCCTCTGATAGGTGTATATAAGCATACAAAATCTCTCTCCTGCAAATTATCTACCATTTTCTTATTTTTTTATGTTTCTGTTTTTCAGGTGGTACCACCGTGTTGAGCACAGAAAAGCCGACAGTATTAGACAGCACCATACAATCAGGTATGAAATAAAATCTAAAATGTGGCATATTCCATGTCCTTGGAATGTCCTCCCCCCACGAAAATAGCGCATTGCCACGCTTGTTGGTTTCAGTTTCCCCGAAAGTCCTAGAAGGAGAGATGCCACGCAGCATCTGGTCTCCAAGCGTGAGCCGTAAATATTGCTCTCCTTTCATCCACATGTATATGCAGCAGGGAACGAGATTTCCTTCCCCATCAGTAATTGCCAAATGGTGACAATCCCAGCTCTCTACGGAAGGAACTGAGTAACATACTTTGTTTAAAAGCAGCACATCTAGGACATGGGCTGTGTTTGCAAACTGGAGGAGAAGGAAATCGCGCAGGCAGCGCAGCCTGACTATTTATTTTCATCACGATCCTGCAAAAACCAAGACAGGCAAAGTTTGTCAGTTTTGTCTGCCACGGAGTTGGCAGTTTTACAACAGCGTTTCCAGTGGGTGTGCCACGGGATGGGGTTCAGGAAACCGCAGTGTGTAGTTGTGCACGGGGAGAGGAGCGCGCTTGGGAACAGCACCTCCTCATCCTTGTATTAATAGAAAAGCCTAATGACTTTTAGAGCCCACAGTTTGCTGTTTACCAGGGCCCAGCCATGGTTAAGCAGCATGGCCTTCCCCTTGCGCGCTTTTGTTTTTTGTTAGTATTCTGTGAAATTCTTCCCCACAGACACACGCAGAGGGAAACGGGGGGTATAAACAATCAGAGGTTTTAAATACTTTAAAGTTAACCATTAGAGTAAGGTGAACAGGTCAGTTTTCCAGCTTCTCCCATTTCCTTTATGGAAGCTCACTCAGCCTGGGCCCCACAGTCATTTATTAATGGGGCGTGTGGTGTGTATCAATGTTTCCTCAACGGTATGACGCTACCGGGCTAGCAGAAAGTAGAAAGGGCTGCTCTAATTAGTATGCTTCCTTAAAGGACGCTGTCACTGTCGACCTGATTAAACTGCAAAACAAACTTCTCTTCAGTTGAACTTAACCCCGAGTTGCCCTGTGGTTGACAAAACCGATGCTACCACCACACAGCACAAACACCCCCAAATACCAAAAGAAGAAACAGTATTTGCCTAAATGCCAAAAACACTGTCATCCTGCACATGTCTTTTGAAGTTGTAAGATGTGGCCTTCAGAGATGGTGTAGCCACCTCGTATCCCTGAAGCTCCCTCATGAAGGAAGCCCGGCCTCTCACTGGCTTCCCACCTTCCCTAAGGGTTCACCCCTCAGGATGGTTGTGGAGAAAGGTCACTAACTGCCTTAGGCCTCTACACAACCCTCTGGAACAGGGAAGAGGGGCGAGGTGAATAAATGAAGTTCTGATCATGTAGCAAACATTTTTACTGTTGTTTTAGTTTCGTCTCTTGCCAGAGAAGTAATTAAAGCCACTATAAAGTTGCCAACTAATTTGCTTCATCTCATCTCTCTTCTCCTTGCTTATTAAAAGAGCTAGGGATCATTAAAAAAAATGAAAGTGAACAACAGCTGTGGAGAAAATGGAAAGTTCTGTCAGATTCCAAAACTGAGATAATCCTCCCTGAACCTTCAGGTCTATATTATCAGAGCAGACACGATTTTGTTGACACGTTTGATTTGTACATGATCTCAAGGTCATTCCCATGACGGCTTCGCAGAGAGGCCAGTCAGTCCTCTCACAGGGTCCACTGTGGTCAGGGGGCAGGTGAACAAATCATGAAACCAGTAAGACCCATTGCTCCCAGCGTCGGAACAAGTTCAGTTCAGACCACACTGGCTTACAGATCAGGGGTGGTCCAGTCCAGTGTGAATTTCATGGTCAGCCCAGTGTCCTTTGCGAATGGACTTAGTTTCCTGTTTTTCCATTGTCTGAGGTCATGAGTCTGGGCTCCAAGTCCTTGTTTGTCTGTAAAGACAGTGTGACCTCCTTGGGAGGAGTTCTGTTGGTTGTCATGTTCTGGCTAAGCCTGTGCACAGAACGCTGCACAAGGACCCGAGCATGCTTTGAGTCAGAGGTCAGGTCTACCGCTGGCCAGCTCTGAGGTGTCCACCAGTGGTCGGATTCACCTAACTGATGCTTTAATCCACACTGTTGTGCAGGTTTCAGGTTCTCCAAGCATCTTCACAAGCAGCAGCAAATGAGTCGACCCCTAAACCTTCATCATAATTCAATTTTTGCTGAAGCCATTATAGACTAAAGCAGAGTCTTAAGATTTCATTTTGAGGATTCTTATCAATATAATAAACTTGGTGGGCATATAATATTCATATACTGTCTGGGTTGTAATCAGATGCATAAAAGGCTATTAATGGTCTGCCAGGAACTGATGAGAAACCCTGCATTTTTAATCCAGCTCTCTCTAGCAAGGGCTCTTAGCCTCTGAAGATCTTCCACTGTTTCTACGGCAGCTCAGAGGGTGTTCGTAACCTATGATTACATGGGCCTCGGGCACCTCCACTTGTTTGGACTGAAAGACCAATCTATGAGTAAGCGAGTTACCATACTCAATAGAAGTTTGGAATACGAGATTTAAAAATCAAATCCTTGTGCATATACAGGGTGCTAACGATTCAACTTCAGGCAAGATGGGTTCAGCAAGCACAGCTGGTGCTTGCACTCAGAGGCTATAAATTTGTTTTAAGTTCAGAATATTGTTTCCTGCTATTTTTAAGAGTCAAGAAGGGATTTAGCCAGATTATTCCCATTGAATTTAATGAGAATTGTATGCAGCTTCAGGGCCTGGGTAGTATTTTGAAAACTTAAAAGTCAATAGTCCTCTATGTTTATTTCTTTATTTCATTCATCCATTTATCCATTTACTTTTTTTCCCTCTTCCTTCTTTCCCCTTTTCTCCTCTCCTCTGCCCTTGTCTCTTTCTCTCTCTTTTTTTCTTTTTCCTTTCTATAAATGTTTATGGGTATTTTGTGTGATTAATTAATTGACTTTCTAGCCAGGCTTGAAGGTTCAACATTGAACTACTCACTCCACAACAAAATGCATTGATTTAAAAACATTTCTTCTAAATATAAGATTGCCATAAGTTTTATCCTGGAGACAAAAAGATAAAAGAGCTGTAAAATACAAAAAGTTAGAGGAGTTCGCCTTGTTAAATTCACAGGCTTGGAAAGGACCTTGGAAGGTAAAGGTGGACTGTCATTCTCTGCAGCGAGGAGAGATCCCTGAAACATTTTTTTCTGTGTCCTAGTCGTTACAGAAGTATCTGAGTTCATATATTTTATGATATCATCAGAATATTAATAGCCACAATAATGGATAATGTGGTTTTCTGTACTACACAAGAAATTTAATGTATTACCCAGGCAAATATAACCAGAAATGCATGTGCTGGGATGGCTGTCTGCCCTCCTGTATGTGCATGTCTTATAAAGTCCATTTAAGGAGAAAAACCAAAACCACACACACATTAACATTTTCCAATATTAACATTTTCTACCATGAGATTATGCAACAGTACATTCCAGGGTAACGGGCGTTGACGTCCAAGGTTGCTCGGCCATTCAGTCACCGTTCAGTCGAGTGTACTTCATCTGCATAATTCAATCTTGCTGTGCAAAAGTGTGGTAAATTTTGAAGAGGGTTTCTCATGCCTTAAGAAGTCCTATTTCATGGTTATGATAGACTAGACATGAAATATATCTCTCCAATGACACTATAGCTGTGAAATACAGCCCTTTTGCTCTAACTGTAAGTGTACACATGGTGTACCTCCCACAGTTTGCCAGTTTACTTCCCCAATATGGCTCTGTCCACCCTTTGGGAGGTGACATTGTCATTGGGAGAATCCAACCTGCTCAGTTTTGACAATTCACAGGGTGGGTTCCTTCCACAATTTGACATTAGCACTTGAAAAGAGTTCCTTGGATACTAAAAATGCAAAGTAAATCACCCTTATCTGTTCAGTAAATCTTTCTATTAAAATTCCTCCTGCCATTGTGACAGTGGGGGAGGGGCATTGGCGACCAGGCTCCGAGGAGGAGGCGCGATGTTTTGTGTTAAACACTTGGGCAAGTTAAAGAAAAGCTCACAGCGAGATATGGTCTCAGACAAATACAGCATATAATACCAGACTTCCCTTATTGTTCATAGGGATTCTTCTGAGGCTCATTTTTAAGTTCAGTTGGCCAGAGGCGCTGGTCGCCTCCCTGTCCGCTTCAATGCTGCCATCTTGTGGACTGCCTAAGCTCAATGACAAGGGAAGCTTCATTAGAGAAAACAGAGCTTTTGTGTCTTTCACTTTATATGGGGGGGATGGGCAGAAGCCTGAGAATTTCATCTTTAGAATGATTTTTTATTGTTCGCTTACATTTACCAAAACAAATCCCAAGTATCAATGATTTCATCCTTCCCATACTTAAAAGGCAAAGCTCCTTTTGAAAAAAGAGGGCGCATAAAAACAATAGGACTATGAGTTTTAAAAACTCTGTGATCAGACAACACATTGTAGGACATGGGAGACAAACAGTTCCTGCAAATCTATTCACTTTCTTTCTCAGATTCCCAAGGAAGCTTGCTGAACATTAAAAAAATAAAAATAGGTCACTATTTCAATGTGCTTTGGCTTTTCATGACCTTGCATTGAGGTTTTAAGCGGGACAAACAATTTATACGTAAATTTAGAAATTCACCAAAAAAGCAAAAAGTTTTATACTTAATCGACCTGATTAGAAAGCACAGAAGAAAATAATAATAATAATCTTATGAAAATGCTTCTGAGATTTCTACCCTGACACTAAAGAACTAACGCATCAGCTGTTGAGGTGGGACCAGGACGAGGCAGTTTGCCAAGTCACTTTTCCAGACTTTTGAGGCTCACGGGTCAGTCTCTAATTAAGATCCTTTTCATTGGTGGCTGTCAGTTTATGTGATTCATCCTCAAGAGCAGAGTACCTTTCATATTAAATATTGTGGAAATAGGAAGGATTCGGCAGATGTCACATACGTGCTTTGAAAAGTAGCTTTCCTGGAAATTTTATGTAAACCCAATTTGTCAGGCAGTGCATAATCTTTTTAAAGCTGGACAAAAAAAAAGAAAAATTTACTAAATGTGATTTTGCAAACATTTTGACATCTTCATGCATCTTTTGGTTTCCTGGTAATCCTGGATTTTGTGGCTTTCCCAGAATTTTCAAACAGATGTGAGGTTGTGTAAATCGTGCTTTCCATGAAAAAATTAAGGGCCTTTCTGACCCGAAATGATTAAATTTGTCTTTCTCTGCTTGTCTCTATTTTTCCTTTCCACCCACGGAAGAGTTTCCAACATATGGTTTTAACTGTGAATTTGGCTGGGGCTCTCACAAGACATTCTGTCACTGGGAACACGACAATCACGTGCAACTCAAGTGGAGTGTGCTGACCAGCAAAACAGGACCCATCCAGGATCACACAGGTAACAGAGAGCTCGCTGCGGCCTCATGGCTTTGCAAATTCTCTTTGAATCAGAGAGGGTGTTACTGGAGAGGGTTTCTGCTGCCTGTGAGTTTTTTTTGGGGGGGGGCAGTTAGAAAATACTACAAGCATTGACTCATGCTGTAATTTTCTGGAACTAACAAGGTCTCTTTCCCCAGTAGAGATACTTGGTTCAAGTAGTAGGAATAAATGCTGATTAAACTTGGCCACTGATTGGCCTCCCTGGAAAACACGAAATGTATGAATCGGTACTTATCTCGTGCTTTTTCTGACTTCTTATTATGGGCCATGTCAAACATACTCAAAACTAGAAAAGAAATAGTATAATGAACCCTGTAGGTACCTAACCCTGCTTCAGCAATTACCAAATCACAAATCACAGGACTCTTATTTTGCCTCTCTCATCCCTGACTCTGGATGATTTTCAAGCAAGTTCAGGTATATATTATGGCATCTCATTCATTTTTACATCTAAAGAAGCAATAAGCAAACCTAGCGCTTGCTCTCTCTTGGCCCCGAGATGAAAAAGGCAGGGTGGGCATTCTTATTCTTTCGGGAAAAGATTTTTAAGTTGAGCCCATTTCTGCTGAGCAGGTAGAAACCTCACTACACCCCAGCTCACGACCCGTCCTGCTCCTGCCTTATTTTCTTTTTGAGATTAATTGTTGGGGGAGGTATAGGTTGGGAGACAGAGGGAGCCAGAAGCCACTGTAGTGAACTCTTTCATTCAGTCCCATCCTGTTTTCCTCCTGGTCTTTTTATCACCCTCCTTGAGGTATGACATAAAGAAGCATCAAATGCCCAATCCGCAAACTTCCATTTACGGAGGACTGCTTACTCAAGCAGTGGCTTCCCAAAAGGTACCCCAGAGGGGCATTGGCTGATGCTGGGAAATCTCATTAAATTCTCCCCACACTGGTGCTCCGGGTGTGTGAGTCAGTGGGCCGATGAGTGGGCCAAGAGTACTTCATGCCTTTTCCTTTTTGTGGTTCACTCTTTTTCCCAGTGAATATAACCATTAAATAGGTTGAATAGGCCTCCTTCCACCGCGGCTACCTCCTCGCCTAATGAGAATGACAAGGAAATTGGATAAAATTGGACTCCTTCAATTCTGAGACACTTTCAATTGAATCTTAAGACAAGCAGTTTTAGAAAACTTAAAATACTTTGACTGTAAGTGGCACTGTACATAGAAATGGCATCAAATTAACTAAATGCAATTAGCCGAAATGAAGGCGGTAATGGTGGAAAAATTGATGCAGAGTCAAGCAAAATAGCGCAGTAGGATCTGACATTCAAAGGAGGTTAAAAGCTGTGTTAGCCAGAGACAAAAGCTAAAAGGCTTGCAGAAGTAAAGTGCTAATTGAGAAAATGAAGACAGAGTTCCTGACCCAGAACTGTGATAAAATCCTTGAAAGGCAAAATATCAGTGCTTTGTGTGTTGGAGTATCAGAAAAGGAGGGCTTGTCTTCGATTCCCAGCTGAGAAGTGTGATTCTTTGAGAAGGGTTTGACTCTTTTGTTCTCCCAGCCACCCAGATTTACTCAGCTGTAGTGCCAGGTCAGCTCTGACTAGAAAGAGCCCCCCACAGCTCTAGAAACACGATCATTTGTTGAGAGAGATGGGTGAGCCCGACATCTGAAAGGCAGGAACTTGTTAATAGAAAAAAAAAAAAATCTAGATGAAAAGTGCCCTACACACCGATAGCTCCTGTGCACAGACCCATGTTAGAAAGTAGTTGGCACTTTTTTATAGTATTATTTGGTGACACTTTGCAAACCGGACATTGAGTTTTTGTTTTGTTTTGTTTTGTATTTTTATAATTAACATTATCTAGGAAAAACGTCCTGCTACTTAATGTTGAGTTTATTTCAAGGAATCCCACTTACGTGGTTTTCTGCCTTGGACCTCTTAAGACTGAAACTATGTTCCTCCTTATGGAGGATTCCTGAAATCTGGCATCTTTCCTGGTTCCCCGAGCAAATGTTATTTGAGGAGCCCTGTTACGTGGCAGATGCTGTGTTGAGCACTGGAAGTCCAGTGAAGGAGGAAGTCCCCACGCTGAAGGACCTCACAGTCTGGTTGTGGGTGGGAGGCGATTACAGTGCCGTTGGGGGAGGGTGTCCAATAGCAGAGGCCAGAGAGTAGGGCAAAAGGTGACATAGGAGCGGTCCAAGAAAGTGGTCATGTCACAGAGGCCATCGGAGCTAGGCTTGTTTTGCTGGATCTCGAGTGGTGTGGCTTGGACAGATTCCTTCTGGGAAGCAGTCAGAGAGAAACAGAGCATGCGTGGCCTTGGGAGCTTTGTGAAGAAGTGTGGATAGGCTCAAGGCAGTGAAGGACCCTGCAGAATTCTAAGCAGAGGAGAGACATCAGCACATTTTAGAAAGACCACAAGGTCAGCAGGGCAGGGGCCATGAGTCACTTCTCAGGCAGCCCCTACCCTCTGCCTATGCCCAGTTCTTTCCTGTCTACCACCTGCTCGCTGACAGCCTAAAGGAAGCTCAACAGATGGGCTCAAGAAGTGGGCTCAATATATGTGCTTCCTCCCTGCAGCATTGCCCACTGCAGTCTTTTTCCATGAGATTAGCGGACGGGGCAAGATGAGTGTGTTTTTTCACTGTCCATCCTGGCGGACTCATCTCAGTGAAATGGCTCCACGACACAGACAGGTGATTGTGCTTAGTAAATCAGGAGGGTGAAACAAACTCCTGGAGTGACTGCGTTGGCTCTGTCACAGCGGACGCTCTGCAAAGGCAAGGAGTGCGAGAGACGTCCTGCAGTATCAGACATACTGCTGGAGCGTGGCTGATTTCCACACCTCATTTATGATTCCACCCTTTGGCTTTAATAAGTGTGTTACAGTGGGATCTCATGGAATCAGCCAGGTAAGGGAAGGAAGCTGCCGGCTAACACATCCGCAACCACCTGGATGCTGTTGACACAGGTGAACGGACAGGACAATGTACCCACATATGCACAGTGAAAAAGTCCTGCACAAACACACAAGTCTCTTGGGCAGCAAACACAACATCCCGCTGCCCACGGAGGCCCGAGCTTCAGATTCGCACCTAATCAGGTGAGGCATTAGAGGAGGTGATTTCTATTTGCAGAGCCAACAGTGAAACATGAGTTGTGTGTTTAGACCAGGTGGTGGCAGGAGGAAATGTTCCCACTGGGGGTAATTAAAAGCGAAGCCAAGACAAAGTTCTTGCAGCTCGGCAAGTGTCTACGGTGCCAGAATGGCAGGTTCTAATGAGCCTCCACAATGCAACCTTGCCTCTCCTTGAACCAGAAGCCACATCAAACGGAAAAAGTGGGGTACACGGTAGATCAAGTTCTCAGTTGTGTTTAAGGAATTTATAAACCATTCAGACGAACCAGGGGAAAAATAATCTGAACTTGAAAAATGAAAAAAAAAAAAAGATCATGCTAGATTATTAGGAAAAACCGCAGGTTTATTATCATCAAGCATAGTGACCAAAGTGTCATCACTGCTGCGGTGATTAATAAGTTACGTCTCAATGATTCCATTTAATGTCTGTGTTCACATGGGTGCTGCTGAGCGAGCTTCAGGTTGCATGGAAATAAGGGTTCTTCTTAGAGAGTCAAACATTCTCGGTTGAGGCTGTGCACAGACTGGGCTTTCTGTCTGCAGTGGTGCAAAGGCTGATTTGAGTCACAGCCTGTGTCCACGTGACAACGCATTCCAAATACGGAGTGTCCAGATGGGTGCTGTTTTCCAGCCTTCCCTCAATCAAATGTCCATTGGCAGAAGCTTCGAGCAGGGCCACAAGGTCCCCAGCAACTGTGCACACTGTTCCCTTTCCCTTGAGGATTTGGCTTCTTGGTGCTGCTCAGCTCAGGAGACTTCTGATTAGTGGAACTTGAAAGAAGAATCATAAATCTGGCCACTCTCCCTAACACAGTTTTTTGTCACAGCAGGAGATGGCAACTTTATCTACTCCCAAGCTGATGAAAATCAGAAAGGCAAAGTGGCCCGCCTGGTGAGCCCCGTGGTCTACTCCCAGAACTCTGCCCACTGCATGACCTTCTGGTATCACATGTCTGGTTCCCACGTCGGCACACTGAGGGTCAAACTGCGCTACCAGAAGCCAGAGGAGTATGACCAGCTGGTCTGGATGGCCATCGGACACCAAGGAGACCACTGGAAGGAAGGGCGCGTCTTGCTCCACAAGTCTCTGAAACTGTACCAGGTGTGCTCCTTTTCCTAGGCTGGGGAGGGCAGTGGCTTTAAGGACACTGGGATAATATTTTGAAGATCATGCAAATGAGATGCGAGAATTATTCCAAAAATTATTGTTGGTGTTTCCCAACAATGCTCATCCCCGTAGCAGATTTCACAGCTGCCTAGATTACAGAAATAGAACCCATTTGCTGAGAGAGAGGGAGAAGTGCCTCTTTGTAATCTATTTCTGGGCTGTCACAATGTATCACTTCATTTATTTGCTGCTTTTGCACCCTTTTTAAAGTTTGTACGATAAAAAGAGCGTGGGGAGAAGTTGCATGCCATCACCAGGCAGCTAATGTGGATTGACGAGCGAAGTGTGTGCTTCTGTGAATGCGAAATCTGATGAATTTAATTCATGTGCTGTAGCTTGAGCCAAACAAGCATTTGTAAACACCGCTATATGGGACTAGCATTTAAATATTGTGAAAATGATCTCGTTTTGTTAGGTGATTTTTGAGGGCGAAATCGGAAAAGGAAATCTTGGTGGGATTGCTGTGGACGACATTAGTATTAATAACCACATTTCGCAAGAGGACTGTGCAAGTGAGTATGAGTTGCTGTAGAAACCAACGGAGCTCTTGCCCAGGGCAAGAGTCTTTCCATGTGATGGTCTTCGTCTTGCTCATGGAGACCTAGAATCTTGGTGTGGGCTCTAGGCACATGATATGAAGCGCATATTCTGATGCAACGGGGCATAAAATCTGGTCAATCTACCTTGAGTAGCTCCATCACCCACCTAACGTAGTTCCTTTAGAATGTCTGCTTGGTACCTATAAAACCATATAAATGATGTGGAATCCAGAGACCATAGCAAAGAAGAAAGATTACGCTTACAAGCTATATATGCCACACCAAAACATTTTGATGAAAAGCGGAAAACTTAGACATCTGGATAATTCCAAATATCTGGGTGTATAAACAAAAACAGCAGGCATTGATCACACTGAATTTAATTAAGACTACATTGTTATTGAATCATAAAGGACATAATTCTTTGCTTTATTGCAAATGAGTAGCTGTTTCTGACTCTAAAAATAGCTGAAATGGCTTTAAAAAATAAATGGAATTCAGAGACTTTGCCTAGTATTTCAGAGTTGGTCTTTATCAGCCTGGTACTAGGTAGACAAATGACATAGAAAAAACAATTCATATTCCCTAGTTCTTGATATATAATTACAAATAGCATCACTAATGGCAGTGTAATAGCATAGCAATTAGTCTTAAGCTCCATTTGCTACACTTAAACTTTTGTTATATATCATCACATAATAAGATGTTATTTATAACAAAATGGGATCTGTCTATTGGACAGATTTAAGACAAAGGAAGCCTGTTGGCTATAATGGGTTTTTGGTCATTTCGGCAACTTACAAAGCTTTTATTGTATAACATATTGAATATACATGATCCCTAAAGTGGCAATAATTTGATAGGATCAATTGAAGAAATTGGGCAAAAAAAAAAAAAAGGAGCAGTGAATAAAAGTCTGGTTTTCATACTATGTAAGGAAATCTGCTTAATGCCACACTATTTAGCAAATCTTCACAAAAGTAAGTCTTAATGTTTCCATTGCCACTACTTTACAAATTACCCACATCCAAGTCTACTGCTGCTGTTAAAATCTGTATTTCACATAGTTATACAATGTATGTAATATCCCTGCTTTCTCATTCCAGTGTGAGAATGATGATGGTGATACTTTTGAGCTGTTAAGAGCAAACTCCACAAACTAAAACAAAGAAATGAAATCCAGTTCAGTTCAACAAGTTTTAACTGGCCGCGTACCATATGCAAAGCACCGTGCCAGTGCCACAGTGAATGTACCTGGCTAAGACAATTCTATGAGCCTTTTTCTCTTCATATGATTTGTCCAGTTAGCTGTGGTTGCCACCAGGCATTGTACTGGGGAAATCAAGACAAGGGCTCCATTAAAACACTTTATTTATGTTGCTACCAATAACAATAGGCCTGAGATCATTGTATAATGACTCATCAAACATGTATTCACCAACATTTAGCCATGATGCTGTAAGATTTTCAACTACTTATTAGTCATTCATTCATTCATTCATACAAGTATTTATTAAAGCGCCTATTATGTGTGAAATGCTGTTCTAAATGCTAGAATATAGGAGTGAACAAAATACTCAAAAACTCTTGCCCTGTGCTCAGTACCATAAAGGATACTGGGATTCAACTTCTTCCACAGAATTTTATTTACTTATTTATTTATCTATTTTTGTAATACACAGGACATGGACTTTGGCCCCAAAAAGTTGGCACACTATTTGGGAAAACAAACTCGCACACACCAGACTTAGGAAGCAGTGTTCTACAAATGACAAGATGGTACCCATATGTACAAACCCACTGGCTCCCTATTTACACCAAATTCTTTCCATATTTCAAATGCCCAAACCATGTCTCTCCACCCCTCTCTTCTAAAACAACACACTCTGCTAGCAGCAGTGCTACCTGGGTTTAGGTGTGATGCCTTAAAGGGAGTGTCATGACCTCATGTCACCAATTTCCTAGTCATTTAACATCGCCCCTGACAATTGCTCTGCGGTTATTTGGTGGGTTCAGATTGTGCGGAAAGACCCAAAGGAAGCACAGCAGGGGCGTGTATGGACAAGGGTTTCTGTCGTTGTGTGTATTGTATTTTGTTGGCAGTTCAAATATCTCTTTCAATTTTGTTTGACTTGTCAGAACCGGCAGACCTGGATAAAAAGAACCCAGAAATTAAAATTGATGAAACAGGTAAATTTGTCTTGCTGAACAGTTTTCTTTTTTTAAATTTGACTATGGCTTTCACTATGTTTATGAAGAAATTTTCTGGAACTCTAATACACTGGTGTATCAGAAACAGTTCAGAGAAAATGAACATCCATGCTTGTGGCCCTGGGTCAATGCTGTGGGTTGGATTATTGTCACAGTGTGTCCTCTTCAAAGGTGCCCTTAGGACTTTGGGAGCCTCTGTGACTACAGAAACAGAACACTAGTGCCAACTGTTGGAAACCAGCCCGAATTCTTGTGTCTGGTTGATATCCAGATAGGATCTTGGCCAGGCACGGTGGCTCACGCCTATAATCCTAGCACTGTTGGAGGCCAAGGCAGGAAGATCATTTGAGGTCAGGAGTTTGATACCAGATAGGATATTTATGAGAGTAGAGCCCAATTTCTGTGATAATTTCTTGCATTTTATCCATCTTTGCCCATCCTCTTCTACTGCCCCCCGGCTTTGTGATGGTGGTGATAAGAAGGGTTTATTGACTATGTTCCAAGTACTTTATATACCTTATTTAAGCCCCATGGCAGCTCTATGGGGTCTATTTATCCCCATTTCACAGATGATGAGACTGAGACTTAAGTAGCACAGCTAATTAGGTGGTAGCCTAGGACATTAGCCTGATTAACTCTGAACTGTGCATTTTTGTTGAACACTGCTTTGTGATCAGATGCAAGACCATGGATCAGAGCTAGTCCTTGACCAGTATTATTTTATTCCCAGAAGTTTCCATACCTCCCGGCCAGCATTGCGGGTTGCCCCAGTGGGTAATACTGCACCTACGTCATCAATGTGCATCAGCATCTGTTGCCATTAGAAACAGGATCCTACCATACAGCCAGATGTGGACTCAATAGAGACAAATAAATATGGCTCTATGCTGTTAGTTATATTAGTTATATTAACACATTAAAAAGTCCACACAGAAATGTAAACTTTATTAGAGATTGTTTCAAAACAATATTTCATCCAGGGAGAGACTATTAATATGCCCCAAGGCTTGTCTTCCTCTGCTCAGGGACTTGCATCTCATAGTTTTAGTTTTCTTTGATGGGAATCTTTGTGCATGAGAACACCATTAAGTAAACACCAGGCATGTTGCGCATTAACATTTTCATCCCATTCCTAGTACCAGGTAATTAGGCTCAAAGCTCCCATGTTAATAATTTCTCGTGTTCCACTCTAAAGAAAACATGTCTCCAGGGACCGAGCTGCAGCACAGTGTGACCGTCTCCAGTTAAACTACCAGGGGCTGCCTATTAAATGTCTTTTCTTCAGCCTGGCGAAGACACAGTTTCTCGATCAGAGCCACACCCTGTGTCCACGCCAGCAGCAAGCATTCGCTTGTTTTGAAAGCCCTCCCCTTCCTCGCTGAAACCACTTCACTTTGACACTTGTACACTTTTTTACACTCATGTAGACCACGCCAGATACTGGAATCGGCACACACAGACAGGCAACCCAGAAGGTTCCCTCCTGCCCGGTTTTAGGGTCAGGCACATGCACAGGGGATGCTTAAACCTCCTCCCGCCCCCACCGCGAGACAAATGTGTGACTAAGCATTTTGCAAAGCTTAATGGCCGCCTACCTGGCCAAGGACTGTAAACACAGATTACAATCTAGCACCTACGGAGGCTGCGTGAAATCCGAATTCCACGAGGACACAAACCCTCACTGCTCACCCGGAATCAGTAGGTCCCATGAGCAGACAGATGTGTCAGAATCCCAGCGCCCACTTGCTGACGCCCTCCCAGATGTCTATCCCCAACAATGCGTCAAACACGACAGGCAAAACCGGGGCATGTGATTTGCTCCTTTTTCTTTTCTTTTTCTGTGTTTTCCTACCTGCTTTCATTTGGTCCGTCCACGGTGCTCACGCAGCCAATTTTGTTTTCCTCTGCAGGGAGCACCCCAGGATATGAGGGCGAGGGGGAAGGCGACAAGAACATCTCCAGGAAGCCGGGCAACGTGCTGAAGACCTTGGACCCCATCCTCATCACCATCATAGCCATGAGCGCCCTGGGCGTGCTCCTGGGTGCCATCTGCGGGGTCGTGCTGTACTGTGCCTGTTGGCACAACGGGATGTCAGAAAGAAACTTGTCCGCCCTGGAGAACTATAACTTTGAACTTGTGGATGGCGTGAAGTTGAAAAAAGACAAACTGAATACACAAAATACTTACTCGGAGGCATGAAGGTGGACAGAGATGGAAAGACCCGTAATCAGAGACTTGAGGTGGAAGGACGTGGCGTGCGTGTGCTGGAGACTGTCCGTCTTCTCTCACTGGACAGGCTGGGAAGTGCGTGACGCTGAGCCAGGCTTTTCTCAGGAGCTTCAACGAGTGTGACCGACAGACATGGACAAGTGAGCTGTGTTAACAATCGGAATCATGTACAGTCAGCCTTTTCCTGTTGGTTTAATTTGAATCGTCAGATGCTGGTGTTGAGACCAAGTATGATCGACTTAATTCATTTCGGCTTCCTCCTCCCCTTCTCTCTCCTCCTCTCTCTCTCTCTCTCCTCCTTCTTTATATGGATTCTTTTCGGAAACTGTGCAAAATCCAAGATGCTGGCACCAAGTGTATTGAGTGGGGCCCTTTTGACAGATGCGCTACCTGTAGCCCAGTGCCCAGAACATATTCGAATAACTGCGTTCCAATGGACTTCCGAAGTTGTACTTGTGTATAATTGCCCGCGTCGTGCATAGGCAAAGGAGGATTAGGGTGTTTTCTTTTAAAAGTACTGTAGCCTCAGTACCGGTATAGTGTGTCAGCTCTGTTTACGAAGCAATACCGTCAGATTTTCTTGATGTTTTTCCAGTGTTGTACTCAACCTCGTGCTTGTGAACTCCATACAGAAAACTGTGCCATCACCAAACACTGCTGGCAACTGCGTGTACTGCTGCCAACCGCAACAACAACAAAAAAATCCTTGGCACTGGCTAGTCTATGTCCCCTCAAGTGCCTTTTTGTTTGTACTGGTCCATTGTGTCACATTGACGACCCACTCTGTTTCCCGCTGGTGAAAGCCCTCCTCTTTAATCAAACCCTGGTGGCCCACTGACTAAGAAGAAAGTATATTTTAGTGTGAGACGTCAGCCCCCCGGGAAGGCAAGGGCTCTGAAGATTTGGCAATGTGGCTTAATCGTTCTGCTTTTTCTGTAGTTCAATTTCATGTCTCTTGACCCTTTTGTATAAAGCTGCGATATTCTCTCTTTATTGTTCTTTCATATGGAATGTATTTTCAAATGTAAACTCTTTCTCTTTCTCTCCTATTGCTCTGTCTTTTTTTCTCTCTTAGAATTTAAGCATTTGCCATTTTCCAGAAAAGAAACTTGCAGCTTTAACCTGCTGGGAATGGTAAACAATTTTACTAGACTTTATGTTTAAGAATGAATAAATAAATAAGGGAAATTCCTAACTTTGCCCTCCAAAGTCTAACTTTGGTTTTCTTGTTAACTGGTTAAAGTGACAGTATCTTTTTTCCTTAAGCCGTTTGTCAATCTTTTGTGATCAAAATGATCTTCCATAGAAATGTTTGCATTTCGTAGAAATAATGGCAAATTGAGGGAAGAGATGATATTAATTGGCTTTCAAATGAGACCCAGAGGAAGGATTGAATAAAATCTTCCAAATATCTGAAAACATGAGATTTTTTACATCCAAATATGCAAAAATGACCCATGAGAAACCTTCTTGTTTTGATGTTGAGTCAGACAAAGGGGAGTGGAAGGAAGTTAATTTAAGAAAGAAACTATAAATCCTGATGCGGGGGCAGGGAAGGTGAAGTATTTTAAGATAAGAGTGGGGGAAACAGGTAAAGTCAAAACAAATGTTTTTAAAAATCCATTCAACAGCAACCTTGAAAAAAAGTAGACTTGAATGAATGCTTCTAGGAACTTCCATTCTAGAAACTTCCAGCAGCTCACAAAGAATAAGCCTGCCTTGAGGCTGACAAGACCTAAGCCTCTAACAGCACAGAGGAGTGAATATCTTATCAGGCAGTATATGAATTAACCCAAAGAAGCTTTGGTTGTTTTGGGTGTATTTTTGTCATGACGTGTTGTACTTAAGATTTTTTTACATCTTCCTCCTTTCCCGCAGTGCTGTAGGTCTCACTGAAATACATTTGTTGAGAGTCACGTTTGCATCCTACACAGGACAGTCCATTCATCTTGGTTAAATTGGATTGAGAATGCCTTTTGTTTCCAGGAAAGTATTGATCCCCTCGAAAGAAGAATAGTTTTTTGTCCCCAGAGGCATTCGTTTAGTTGCTATAATCATGCCAGAAGGAAAGCACTAAGGAAGATTTGATTTTTTTTTTCTTTTAAGGTAAACAGACTTAAAGTTATCCTCAGCCAAGGAAAAATGATACTGCAACTTTAAAATTTTAAAGTATCTTGCACTGATAAATATATTTAAAAATTATATGTTTATAAAGTTATTAATTTGTAAAGGCAGTGTTACAAAATGTTCAGTTTATATTGTTTTAGATTGTTTTGTAATTTTTAAAGGTATAAAATAACGTATTTTTTCTTTATTGAAATCTATAAAACTTTCTGTAGTAAAATGTTTTCATTTTACTGGTATATTATTGCTTCATGTTTTGTACCATCGTAAGATTTTGTGCAGATTTTTTTTTACAGAAATTTTTATTTTCTATGACAATATGACACTTGTAAATTGTTGTTTCAAAATGAACAGCGAAGCCTTAACTTTAAATGACATTTGTATTCTCAGACACTGAGTAACATAAAAACCACATAGAACTGAACTGTAACTTAAATTCCAAACTATGACTACTACATTCCAAAGAAACAGTTGAATTAAACATTTTCATAAAATATCCCAAACCTGATGGCTTTTATTATATCAGCTCTATTCTTGTTAAAGAAGTGGGTATTATCCATCCAATAACTTTCAAGATTTTTTAAAGTTCTCTGTTAAAAATATCTTTGTAAGGAGAGAAGATTAAGAAGATATTTCCTGAAAGCAGAGTATTGGCCCAAATTAGACACTGCCGAGATAAGGAATATGGAATTTGGCCTTATAAATGGAAATTTTTTTTAATCCCAAATTGTGTGTCAAATGTTCTATATTCCATTTGGTTAAGTTTTTTTTTTTTTTAATGGTATTCACAAATTACTATTGGTAAGTTTGTTTTTGCAGAAAATAGGTGATAAATCTGGCAGTGTTCATTCAAGCATTTATGCTACGTTTAGGTAAAGGGAAAAGTTGAGCATGGCATTACAACCAGCTATTTTATATGATAATTCTTAGGAAATTTTCTATTTCATCTGTGATCAAAATAATAGAAAAACTGTAAACAACAACAAAGACAGCAGAAATGTTGAGCCCAAGCATGCTGAGGAGGGGTCTTTAGAAAGCTTGTTACAGCAAAATTGGCCTGGCCTAATCCCTGTTAGCCACAGACCCACAATTCTTCCGCTACCTTCCTCTGAGTGTAGGAAAACTCATTCCTGAAAGCACAGGGGCTCCCTCAGTAGGCAACTTTGGACAAGCGTTCTCAGTGAATCAGTATTTCCTCCACTTCCTGCTTTTTTCTGGACGCTTATGCCTTTTTGCCTTTTCCAAGATTAACCAATAACAGAAAATTTTCCCCAATGAGTGGGTTTTTTAGGTCTCTCTGCATAGAGAAAAGAATCCAAGATAGAGACAAAGCCAGGAATCAACTTTACTAAAGTTAAATTCCACCTACATTCATGGATGTTTCCAGAAAACATGATGACTTACAAGGAGGCTATGAGAATTCATGAAAAATGCTAAGGGCCGTGGACTAATATTATCTCTGTTTCATTGTTCCAGAAGACCTTAAACATGGATGTTTTTCACCCCTTCCATATCCCTAGTTAGGGCTAAGCTAGGATTTTCTTACTAGGTTTAATAAGCTGGATGACTGTACAACACTTCCCAGACTCAAGATTGAAATATTTAGCTTAAAACATGAAAATTATTTACTGTTCTCTCTCCTGTCTTCCCTGATAACATACTCCCTGCCGCTTGGGCTGAATTGCACTGTATCTTTGTGCAAACCAAATAGACATTCCATAATCTTCTGTTCCATAATGGTTCTGCTTCCCACTAGTAATTATAACTGTTCTGTGTTGCATTAAAAAACAGTGCTGCCAATAATTAGCTCTATTTCCCTAAAACTATCTCCACGAAGGGATCTTAAGCAGAACTTGAACTTGGAGATTGAGAAACCTGAATGGAGGGAGCCTCAAATTGAATAGAACTTAACATCAGGAAGCACGTGAGACCAGGATGATAACTGACTTTTTTCCCCGAAATGTTCCAAAGAAGCATCACAAGATGATACAGATGAGAAGATCACATTATCACATACATGTACCTTCTGAGTCAGCAATCAAGGGCCTGCGAACTGGTCCTATCATTGTAGGAGAGGAAGACTAGCGGAATCTACGGTGACGGCATTGAACTTCTTTTCATTAAGAATATTAGCTATTTTTACAGAGGTAGGTTTTGTAATTATTCTGCTTTGTAAATGAGGCATCTGAAGCTCAGAAGGTTGAGTGATGTGTCTGGGATGTGTCTGGTCCCATCCCCCGCTGTTATGCCTGCCACTCCATAGTCATACACGACCTCGCAAGGTGTTCACACGGGGCCTTACTACTCCAAGTGCGTCCCATGAGGCGGCAGTAGTGGCACCATCACCTAGAAGCCTAACGGAAATGCAGAATCTCAGGTCGTATCCCAGACCTGCAGAGTCATTTCAACAAGATCCCAGGATGAATGACTTGTAGTCACACTCAGGTTTACACAGCACTAAGGTGGTCTGCGGCTGCCCTGAGCCAGGCGTGTGACAGCTTGCATTGCTTCCAATGATAGCTTCAGAACACTCAAAGAGCAGGGAAAACATCCTGGCAGGTTTCACAAGGCACTGTTAGAAGAGCCTGAGCACAATGCAGCTTGGAAAAGCAAAAAGGAAAATGAATACATTTAAAACCTCATTCACCTAACCCAGGAGCACTTTGCAGCCACCCTGCCTGATTGTGCACAAGGGGCGTAAACATGGGCTTTTCTGACAGGGAAGAGAGACTGCCGTTGTAGTAATTTGCTGGATTAAAAATTTTTAAGTGCTACAGAAGCATAGCAAATGCTCCTTTCCTTATCACAGTGCAGCCAGTGGAGAAAAGGAAGCACACACCAGTATGTGAAGAACCAAATCCTCTGTTCAAAAAAAGTTGCCTTATACAGCACACAGTTTACTACTTTCCAAAGATGTGAAAATCCCTAGTGGTAAAACCAGGATGAACCCTATTTAATCTTTCTTTGATGATTTCTAAGCTTGTTCCTTAGGGTCCTTATTGCAAATATGTGAGAAAGTATCATATAATAGAGCTTTGCAGTCAGTCAAACAGTGACTCCCAAAAGAGGGGTTTTCTACAGAGAAAGATTATCTCAACCGCACATCTGAATGGAATTATAATCTAGGAGTTCAACAGATGTAAAATATTCATAGTCAATAACCTAATTTTATCACTGCCCTGTGAATGGAGGTGGAAAGTCGCTTATCTGTTTAGCTCTGGTGGTGTGTTGGGTTGGAAAGGGACTTGCTGTCCTGGGTGGTGTTTCTGAGCCTTGCCGGTGTGCAGCTTGAACAAGACAATGACTCACCTAATGGAGAGCAGGTATCTGTCCCAGGGATCTGGGCATCCCACCCCATCATCTTTGACACGAGCCAATTCCACGCCCTTTCTTCAAGTCCCTAACATCATTTTTCAGAGACACAATGCTGGCAGTACCTACAGTCCTGATGTAACCCTGCTGGGAAACCATTCCATCACCTATTAGAGCTATCGCATCTCTCTAATTTTGTCCAACTTCTGAGAATTTTCAACATTGATTAAATTGCTTCTCGACTTTGCATATGTGATATATTTAAAGTACATTCGATCGTTGTCCTCAGATCTTTTGCAATGCTGCTGTGATTCAAGCCCTCCATTTAAAAGAAATTTATTTCTAGAGTCTGAAATATAATTTTTCTTGGGTCAACCTTTAATTTTATTTACATATAAGTCACCTAAATTCCTTTTAGTTGTCAGAAGAAATACATTTTTCTGTTGTTCAAATAATAAATAATAATAAATCATCTCTTCTATTTAATTTCATCTACATACTGGAAGGTGCGGGTGGTTGGAAAAGTCCCTGGAGTGGCAACAGTTTGATCTCTTCCCTGGTCTCTTAGCACACAGAGCTACCACATTAGATACCTGTGTTTCAACTCGTCAGTGAGCACAATGTTGAATCTACTCTGCATACATTTCTTACTCCATAACATCATAACTACCATAACTTTCTGAAGGTTTACTGTGTATCAGACTTTACTAGATGTTTTGATTAATCCTTAAAACTACCCCATGATTTGGGGATGCAAAAATTGAGGTTCAGAGAGGCTAAGAAGTGTAACTAATGTCAAACAACTAGTTAGTAAGGGGCATTTTCAAGATTGAAATATAGGTCTATCTAACACAAAGTTTGTAATTCTAAATAGCTACCCTACACTCCCTCCTCAGTGTGAAGGAATCGTTGTCTTATTAGCACATGTCAATTGCTATAGGCACACTTTGGAATGCATTGTGCTACGATCTCACTTTACTTAGGCCTGGTATCATCAGGTTAAGCTAGGCTATACTGTGGCAAGAAAAAAACTCCCAAATATTAGTGAATTGAGTCATCAAGGTATACTTTTTGCTCACACAAATTCTACTGTAGGTCTGGTAGCTCTGCAGGACAGCTCTGCTCCATGCAGTGATTCAAGGCTCCAGGCTGGTTACCTCTTGCTGCTGTACTAACCAGAACATGTGGATTCTAGACGCTGTGCAAGAGAGAACTAGAAAGTTCTTCACTATCTCTTAGATGTGACAGCCTGGAGTTGACACAAGCCTTACCAAATTTCAAGGGCTCTGAGAGAAGTCAGAGAGCATATGTATATTCTGTGGGCAGTTGGAGTCTCTGCCGCAACTTTCAAGGGCAAAGCCGCCCTCCTGCTGCAGAAGGCAGGTGAGATCGTTCACTATGCCTGTCACATAGGGAAGTGAGGTGCTTCTCATTCTGGAAACCAACCATAACTTTGGGGACGCAGTCAAACAAGATGTCAAGTGAGATGAGATGGCTCGCGTCAAAGATGAGACTCTTTGTGTTGGATTGTGAGGGGACATCCTCCCGTGGAAGCAGGTCAGGAGATAAGAAGCGAGGTACCTGGGCTAAGAGCCTATGGAATTATCTAAGCCCTTTGAGTGCAGAGGAAAAAGACCTTAGGAAGCAGAACATGAAATGGGACAGGCTGTGAGTCCTGGGAGCAGACTTTCACACTTCTCATACGTATTCCTGTATTTCCACTTGAATTCCCCTTAACGTCTAGTATTTAGTAATTTTAGTAATATGTAGTAGTTTTTAAAGTCCCCATGCATCTCAGCTATCCAAATGAGAGAGAGGAAAAAGGTTTGTGATCATATGTGGGCCGAAACACAAGAAAAGAAGTCAAATAATATTGGGGACCCTCTTCCTATCTTCACTCCCTATTTTATCCCTTTCCATAGAATTTAGCATCTTTTAGTACACCATATGCTTTACTTACTTATTTTATTATCCATCTACACTAATATAATAGAATGCAAATTCCACAGGGCAGAGGTTTTCATCTGTTTAGCTCAGTGTAGTATCTACAACACATAGAATAAATAGTACCTGGTACATAGTAGATGCTAAATAAATATTTTTTTAATAAAGAAGCCATGGTGAGGGGCTGGAATAAGAGAGCCTCAATGGAAATTGGAAATCGGGAGACAAAGTTGGGGGCAG